ATATCAAAAGATAAACAGTAACTGAATAGGAGAGGAGAATTACACACTGGGCGAAAACTGTTTTCATGGGCGAAGGGCGAAGGTTTGCCGGTATACAGTTGTCAATTTGATTATTATAAGGTATTTGATACTTATTAATTACAAATAGAGATATATACATTTATATTAACCCAGAACAATATAATATGAACTGAACAATGATATTTGATTGATACATGCATCAATAGAACTATCAGGAAATCCGGTTCCATGAACTTTTAAAGCACATTCGGTCTTTTTTCCCGCAATCACTGCAATAACTTCTCAATCAGAAACGCTGCAAACTTCCTCATTCCAGTATCATGTTAGACAATTTCTACCCAGGTTGAAGTTTAGTTCACTAGAAAAAAATATCTTAAAACTACATATCATTCATTTGATTATCATGCAATTAATACCTAATTATGGTAAAAACATGTGTAAAAAAATATATGATGCAAGATTGAATGTATTCCCGCGTGATTGAAAACAATAAAAAGTAAGCATTTCTTTGGTTGAGGTACGTATCAATAAATAAACATAAAATAAAGTGTACCTTGTGCACAACATACCGGTTATATATATAATCTACACAGCGCTTTGATGAACAATAATCGATAGATATCACAATTTTGATAATAGAAATTTAATAACAGTATATATAACCATCTTCATTATTGTCATGGCAAAGCACCATTGTCATGTCAGCTGCTATCATATTGAATGTTGAAATTTTTCAAAGTATGCTGTTGTCATGGTAATTGTGATTTTTAATGTTTGTCATTTATACTGTTGCAGTAATCTGGTGTAAATGACGTCATGTAACCTGTTGTTATGTTTACTAATATTTGACATGACTATTATGTTACAAAAATGACAATGATAAATCATAACAAAGAGATCAACATGTCGTTTAAAATAATTTGATTGCTTGCGTGATTGTGGTTATGATCAATTTCTGTCAATTTGTGCCAGATCAGTTGATGTAACCGCATAAATTGAATAATTTTAGCATCATCATAATCTACATTCAATGGCAAAGAATCGGGAAATGCAAATTAGTGAAATGTCGGCTGATAATTTGTTTTAATAGAAAATATACATTAATCGCCGATTTGTTCATTAATACTGTTACAATTAATACAATTCTGATCCACATGCTAAATGCAGTAATAAATATATTTAAAGTAAGTTTATCATATTATGTAGAGAAATTAAGTTTAAAGTTCAAGGGTTGTCGTAAACGTTTTACTTTATGCTAAGCAGAGAGCATCCTTCACTGTCATATTAATGCTGTAGTTTTGTAATATTAATGACACATTAACTGTTCATCGCATGTCAAGTTTAATTAGAATAACTAACAATCAATAACCTTTAATAAAAAAAACTAACTCAAACTTCCAAAAGCATGCAATGAATCATGAACAGAATATCATAACGTATGCATATTTCATCTTCCATTTGACATCTGGACGAACAATTTTACTCGTCTCAAGTCGGCCTTTTACGTAGGGTACCGGAATCGGCCGAGTTTTGACGAATGGCACAATATCTATCCAGAGTTGTCGTTCCTTACACTGAGTAAGTGTAAGACACGACTTATCATGGTACAGATTGCTTGCCGAAATGATCACCAATACATTTCTCTGATTATTGGGTTTTTGTATGATAGTCACGATTTTATTTTTATTTAGGACAGCTTTTAATTGAAATCACAAAAATGCAACATTATATTCCTTGTATCTCAGTCTTACAATTTGCATAAGTCATTGTAAGAACTAGAAAATCACCATCATCATAAAGTAAAATTATTACAACCGTGGTGTGATTTTGACAAATATAATTGATTTGCTGATACTATAATTCGTTTAAATAGTACAAATATGGATTGTTTGACGCTAAAACAGTACAATAAAACATGACTTTTTGTTTGATAAAACTATCTTCTTCCTTGCTGTCAGTATAGGTATGGAGCTGAAGATAGGGCACAGGGGAAAATGTATAAAGAAATTTAAATAAGAGCACCAGGTAATAAAGCAGGATAATAATAAGATATAACAAAATCCTACATAGTGTATAATGGAGGTCAATCACTAGCGTAGAACATAGAACAATCACGTAATATATATCTATAACAAAATCCTACATACAGTGTATAATGGAGGTCAATCACTAGCATAGAACATAGAACAATCACGTAATATATATATCTATAACATAATCATCATTGATTTTGATGTCAATAGGATTTCATCTAAAAAGAAAATATAAAAATTACAAAAAAATGAATATTCAATAGAACTGTTACCCTCGGGTTTCAACACCATGCATCCTTTTCCATTGTATTGACCTAATAAGAACAGGTCTATGGCAGATACGAATTGGTCTTCAGGTAAAAACCTGATTTTATGGCACATATCAAACCTGTTCCATATAATTATGCTAGTTAAATAGATAACAAAAATATCCAATCTACATGCACACACGTATACACGTATACATATAGGTAACAGCTTCAATTTTATTACCATGCTTACATACCAAACTGTCATAGCTCATGAGTTTCTAAAATACTGCACTTATTTTAGCGCAGCGCACTCAAGTTTTAGCGCATTATCGAATTTTAACAGATTAGCCCATTGAGGAATTGGCGCACTTTCAAAACATCCAATAGAAAAAAAATATACAGGAACTTCAATTGTTGCAATCGTAGTTTAGCGCTATATTCAAAGCAAAAACAGCGCTAAAATACAGCTAAGATATGTACAATCACAGTATAGCACGTTGTATAAAATATAGCAAAAGACACATGCTAGTCTATATAAATGCAATGATCAGTGTTGTTCTATATTAGATGGACATGAGTATAAAAATATATAACAAAGTCTCAACTGTTCGCCAATAATAATCTCAAATCTCATGTTATCAATTTCTGTTGCCGATTACACTACGAGCTAAGCTGATACCCGTCTTCGAAACGGAGAACTTCATAACTTTCAAAACTTTCCACATTAATTTTAAGTTAAGCTGATCAATTTGCTTTATTAATATTTTTGACGTAGAAACACAGAAAGACAAAAAATGGTTTAAGAAAGTTAATGCAATCAAAACACGAACATTACAAAAAGGTTCTTAACTTGATTCTAAGAGCTTATACATTGTGATGTTACTACCTTAATTTCGGAAACATAAAAACAGGAATGCACAATAAATATTACAACTTTGTGTAAAAAGCTAACATAAGAAATATTACAAATACATGTACATACGAAAACATACTTTAGAAAATACTTGTACATCACTAATACAGCTAGTCAACGACTAACAGATATCATTGGATTCGGGCATAGAATGAATCAATTTAATATGTCGTCAGTGTGACAATGTGAAGATAGGAACACGAGGAATCAAAGCAAATTGAATGACGGAAAAAATCCAAGGAAATAAATACATATAGGAAGAACAAATTAAGCTCCTCAATTAATATTTAATTGCATCCAATGCAATCACTTTGATTCTGTATTATTCTTAAATAATTGAGGGGGAATTTAAGGCAATGCTGAAGATTTCCCCTCTTATCACAACATTCTGGGGTAGAGGGGGTGGAAACGGGGATGCATTGCACTAGCAAGGTTCCGAAGGAGGGGAAAAGACCGGGATAATTTTGTTTTTCGGTCACGTGATCAATATAATCTAACTGAATACTGTTGCTATGGTTTGGTGTTCTACTTTGAACATTCTTACATTAACCTTTGAATTTTCATCAACATCAACATCACTTCTGTTGACAGTGAAGCGTCCGTTGATGAGCATTTAGACAGAGCTACCAAATATGGTTGTCGGCTTCAGGTAACATGTTACACCACATCTGCAGACACTCTGTGGAATCAGAAGCTCCTTACCACAGCAAATAACGTCATTTACACTGCATGTTTACCATATTCCTGCATATTTTCGTCATGTTTGTAAGTATGAATAGTAGAAAAGTTATATATCACAGTCAGTAAAGCATACGATTACATCTTTAAAATATTACGCGTTACTGGACTTTAGTCTAGTGAAGGTGACAGGGTTCGTATCGTACTAGTCACTGAAACGTCACACAAAAATGTTTACTGATTGATAAACATAACCTTTCTACTATCAATGCATAACATATCGTGGTCAACAAAAATGCAGGTTGCGATTTGTAAGAGCATGGCTTCCTGAGTCCAACATGGACATCAATTTCCTAGGTGTTCATAAGCAAAGAGTAGCCGCTTTACATATACGAGATGAAATATATCAAACTCAATCAAATCATCGATTGACATCTAGTTAAACTTCTGCAAACCATGGGAAAATGAAGATATATAAGGTATTTCAACATTGATCAATTCTGGTTAAATAAAAGATGGTATATTCGTAAATACTTTCAGTTGCCGAAATTTCGCTGTCCTACAAAACTGTAGCTGTTTGACAGAACCGGCTAATTAAAACCGTACAGGCAATACAAACAATCTTACTGGGTTGACACACACCTACCCGTTTTATTGTTATCACCTGTACCTTTGTTTTCAAATATGTATCCAAAAATAAATTAATTCTTATTTCTAGACCCGTTTTTATCTTGAGACAACCTTATTTATCCGTGTCAGAGTCCTACCGTTTCCTTTATTATTAAAGATGTCTAAAAAATCAACTGCATGTACATTTAAAAGGTATTTATTCCTCTCCATAGTTACATATTATGAACCAACATATTTTATCTAGATAAAACAATGGATTTAAGACTGTTATGGTGTTAAAACTCCCACTTATCTGAGTTAATCAAGGAGCCGCGTGCCACTGCCAAAAACTGTCATTACGCGTTAAATAGGTGTTTACCGGAATGGCTAGCTTTGATAAATCATTTTAGAAAAAAAGGAACATATCTTGCGGGACTTTTATATAAATTAAATAAAGATGAAAGAAACAAAATATACTCAAGAATTGTTTTGAGAGTAAAAAAAAATCAGCGTGGCTTGACCAGGATTCAAACCCTAGACCTCAAATCGTTTTAACCAACTGAGCTACCTAGCCTACAGAAGTGTCACGTCCCTACTGCGCTGCAGTAACATCAAAAGCGACTGTATATACCAAACAAAACACAATGCAGGGGTACAGGGATCCTTAGAAACAAATGTACAGAAAAGAAACAATTGTCATCATCGACTTGCCAATGCCAGATATCAATGACAGAAATACTCTTTCTCAGTTTAGATACACTTATTTCAAGTCTGTTTCATTTCTTTCTTCATTTCAAAATTTAACAGTTTAAAATATCTTAACCACCTAAGACATCCTTTTTGTAAATGTAAGCACTAGAAAAACAGTTTTCCTCAATAAACGAGAATGCACTTGGTCACCTGTCCGACCACGTGATTTTTTTTCAAAATTTTCGGTTTACTCCAACATTAAGACCCCCTCCATGACTCAATCCGGGCAATGAATAGCAATTAATGTAAGCTTAATATCATTGTTTCATCATTATTATAAAATAATACTGTTTACATGTATATTTATATAACTAGGTGAGTGATTACCTAAAATTGTAGACGAAGTGTTTGACCAGGCGACGTGTACCTAGGTGACAACATGTTTCACCAATCATAGCATTGTAAAAGTAAATGTATCCATGCATCAATGTAAAAATGCAAAAGCTAAAAATATGTTATATATATATAAATATATCATACATTGTTTATAGCACATCAGCACCTATAATTGAATTCAGTGTAAAAATATAGTTTACCAAGGCACAATGCTAAAACCTGTTCCACACAGACCGAACACGTGAAACATTCTATAGGGTATTGAGCAAGCGTAGTAACCAAACAAACCGGAATATACGGAACGATTGTCATGTATGAATTAAAAATTATTTTGATTATAATAGCCATAGGGAGTGATTCTGGTGTTAATACAAATGTATTTGTTTTTCTTTTTTTCTTTTCGTTTTTGTTTTTTAGTTCAAATCAATTCGTTTTTAACAAGAGAGTAACTGATTGTAAATTATATTAATAACATTTCACGAGAAAATAATCCAATCATGGACAGGAAAATATTCCAGAATACTCAGAGGCTAAGGAAGTTACACAGTATATCATCGAGGGGACACTAAAGTTAGTTGAGTCCAAGTTATGAACCAATCAGATGCGTCCTCTATCAACATCAATTACACATGCACAAATCCCTAGCAAAAATATTTTGACCTCTGAAATGTTTTTTGAAACATTTTCCCACCAATCAGATATCAGGAGGTTTGAAAACGGTGCCTAATATTTTTACCATCTTTCTGTTCCTTTGACAAATCAGAGTTATTATTTCTATAGCTATCATTTGATTCTTGGAATGTGCGTTTTGATAAAGGTACATCACTTTTGACATCACGGTAAATGTAAAACTTCCACACTGTCAGAAGAACAAGCCCAAGCAGACCGCACAACCAGAAGACAGTGACATGTGTGGGAAGGGGTTTACTGATGGTCTCCCAGTCAAACTTGACACAAATAAGTCCCTCCGTAATGATGATGGCTGCGATAAGCCAGGATTGGTGTCCAAACTTCTTACAGGTCCTAAAATGATAAACCACTCCCATGCTGAAGCATTCAATTAAAAGTCCTTGATATCATAATGTGTCACCTTTTCCTAATTCGACAGTGGTGTCTTACCTATGTCACTCAATAATGAATCACTTGGAGGATATTTAACTTGACCTCAATCAGTAAACTACATTTAGAACGATGTTTACCGTAGCACTGCGTCTAATATTATCAAATAATTAAAGAATATATGATAGACTTGTGAATCTTAAGAAACTTCGAGGTAGAAGATATTTTTATGTAGGATTTACGTTGTTGGGACCTATGTTTCACTCCGGGATATCCGAGTTTTTCGAGTTTTCAGAGTTCGAATTTTCAGAGTTTTTATTACTAAGATTAAGAAGAGTTTTGGCCGGGATCGATGAATTAGTTTGAATTAAACGGGGTCTTCGAGTTATACGAGTTCAAGATAACGAGGTTCGACTGTATATGATTAATCCAAAGTTTAATCCCTGGCAAAGGCATTTGGGAAAAAGGACATCAGTTACAGGCAAATCATTGATGCTCACGTATATGCATGGCTCTAGGGACCTAGCTCATTCAGTTCAGCACTGCACTTTTAATCAATGCTTTTAGTTCAATCACTAGCAGAGGTGATATTTGATAGCGAATTGATGTATTTGTGCTGCAAGATGTTTACAGATAAGATCCTTTTGGTAATGCATTTAACATCTATATGTAGTTTTTCATGCCGACAACTTTCATGGCAAATCGCAAATAGCCTTATAAATATCAGACGCTAAGCATCAGGCCAACATAATGGTAACTTCACAGGCATTTTAAGCCAGACGAATTTAACGTTCACTTCTGTCTACAAATGTGATGCCAATGGTATTGTCTTCTTGTTTCCTGTCAGAATTCATATCGTTTGAGCTCATACTTACGGGTCATCAAGGTACTGGAATGTCTCCCGCAGCGCAGCCCCACCCATGCACAGGAACAGGAACAGGCGAGTAAGATTGAGGTAATGCTCCGGTGGAATCCACAGAACAAACTTCAGGTAAAATGTGTTCAGCTCTGCCAGAAGGAACTGCAAACATCGAACCAAACAAATTCGTAATGAAGCACATTACCTAGTTTTGGAATAGCCTATAGTAGTACAATCTTACAGCACGGAAAACCAAATCTATTTCATCAACGAGTTTTAGAATGCAAACCAGGTCGACATTGATAAAAGCCTCCGGTAGGGAAAACCAAATCATTTAGCTATGAGGTATAAAATGTCAAACTAGGCTTACAGTTGTAAAAACTCTTCGGCATGGAAAACCAAATTGATTCCAGCTATGAGGCATAGAACGCAAAACAAGGCTTTTAATGATAAAATCCTCCATCATTGAAAATAGAATTATTTCAGCAATGAGGTATAGAATGCCAAACTAGACCTGCAGTGATAAAACAGTCCATTTATAGAAACTCCAGAAATATTTATTTTACCGAAAGATATTCTAGAACAAATTTGGTTAAAATCCTTAAATGGTACGGAAGAAGAAGGTTTCTGTCTTTTAAGATCAACCTCTAAATTCGAGTCCCTTTCGGCCAAATGTAGTCAAACTCAACTGAGCAATCAAAAATTAGTAGTGTTTTAAAGGGAAAAGTTTAATGTAATACAGATGGAAATTTGGTGTCAGATGACGGATGATTGAAGCCGCTCACTGGCCCTTCAAGCTAGGTAAGCTAATAAACCATACTTATACCCTCAGAATGACAAACCATATTATATGTGCTGATGGCAATGAGTATGACCTTCACCATGGAAAACTATTTTTTAGTGATAATGTCAAACCAGACCTACATTGGCAGAAATGACAACATGGAAAACCACATTTATAGTAGCAATACCACTTAGAATGACAAACCATATTTATCCATATTTGTAGTGGAGCAGATCTTTAGCATTGATAAACTTAACATGCAGTAGCAATGAAATTGTAGCATGACCCCATGCAACTGTGGCAATGGCAAAACAGCATAGCAAATCAGACTCAAAATTGCAAAAATGCAACATAAAAAACAAATTCTGTGGCTATGATCTCAAGAATATCACATTAATACTTACAATGGCGATGACTCCAAGCATGGCAAACCAGCGTTTGAGACTTGATAGTGGTTTCCAGTCAAAGTCTGTCCAGCTATATGGTGTGAACTGGAGTGCTAGTCTCTTGATCTTCCCACTAACAAACACATATGATATTGGTGAAAAGTAATGGCAGTTGGCCATGAATATGCACGGAAAACGTCAAAGCTTTCCATTTTCACACTCACTTTCTAAACAAACAAAAAGTCCATGGTTGTATATTTTGGAAGTGTTACCTATTGCTTGGCGAAATATTTTCGAGAATGGAACATCAACATGTACATCAACTATATGGATTTTCTGCAGCTTGCATGACTATGAATACCCATGTTTCTGGTTACACAGCACCATCAAAATGGTGTAAACCAGAAATACAAAATACAGCAATTTAGCGAGGTGCGGAAAATCAGCTCATCATGGTATTGTAATCACGGTGATTCCTCGCAATCTATATGTCCTTATGACTTAGCCGTAAAAATGGCGATAAACACCAATTATCCCTCACGGAAGCTGCAGCCAGGAAAAATCCTGGCAAATCACTGAAACTTTAATGCTAGATGTCACGATGATTATTCCAAATATGTTCTTGGTGTGCTGCATATAATGGCTGATCACAGTAGTCTTCCCTTATCCCTGTTAACTTTCGTGTACATTGTTCCAAACTTTCATAACGGTAAGCATACATTTAGGAAAATCCCAATGATTTTGTTCATTCGTGTAATGCTAATATAAATTTCACAATATGATTTAGTGGGAAACATTCATTTTCCACAATATGTTCTAAAACACGTCCAATAAACAAAATGAATGTTGCAAACTTAAGGTAGTAATTGAAATATTCATGTCTTTTTAGAACAAATTATGCATTGATTATTAATAATACGATTTGGGTCTAAAACAGGGCCATGGTCACAGTGACGTCAGACATACACAACTGGTAAATGCGCAACCGTGAATCATGACTGTGATTAAATCATGATGATAATTGAGTTATTAACTACTGCAATTATCAATCTCAAAATTAAAATGATTTTAGGGGCAATGGAATTTTGGTTTAAATTCTCCTGACTGTTTTGTGGTTGTACTTAGGTATAGTTACCTGGTTACCTATAGATAGTATGGAAACAAGACTGTTGAGTATGTGTGAATGGGCATAAGATAAACTCAAACATGAACATACGCATGTCTTCGTAAAAACTTGAATGATTACCTGAAGGTGTGTAAGGTCATTTGTATGTACATGATTATGGTTACCTGTGACTGATAATTACCTGTATGTGGGTATGTTCCACATGCCTCTCCAATGATATGGTTTCATAGATATGTAGTTGAGTGTCTTCATACCAAAGTAGATCCCCAGACCGTTACACAACAGGGCATCCATGATCCACTACAAATGAAAATCAGCTAATAATGAATGACATTTCACATCATAGCACATAAATCATGCGTATTGCTTACTGGGGAATTTGCACTATACTTTAACCTGTCCCTCCCTAATGAGTGTGGATTTATCTGGATGGTAAATATTGGTTAACAACATACTAAACATGCTCAGTACATAAGGGTTTAGTTGTTTGTGCTTTACATCCCATCAACAGCTAACATTTAACGACGAGCCATGTTTTGTCCCCTTTCTTCTACAGTGCCAGTAATTAAGTGTACTGCCTGGTATTTATTCAATCCTATTTGCTACAATTCTAGTAGTCAAGTGTATGTATTGCCTTGCAGTCATTCAATCCTTTCATATACAATATGGGTAATCAAACATATTGCTGGGTAAGGATTTGTTTTCCACCACTGACACAAGCAATCAGTACAATTAAATGTCTTATTATCATGTGTTAACATCTTTGTATTTTAATATGATAACATAACCTTATCTTGTAAACAAAATACCGTATTGCTGGTGATTTACATGGGCGTATTTTCGCGATTTTGAAGGAACTAAATTGTCAGTGTTAAAGGGACAATTTAGTGGAGTAAGTTTTTTTTATAACTTTGTCACAAAATTCTTCATCATACTATAGTTTGATACTCCTTACGAACAATTCATGTCGAGAAATTTACAAGAGGCAATTTTTTCTTGGCGTTTTTTATCAGTAAATTCAAAATCCTTTGTTTCGTCGATCGACAGCGTAGTGCTGTACATATTTACTTTTCACTGAAAGGCACTGGCCGGATATTGAACTACGGAAACTTTCGTAAGGAGATATATATTTTCAGTATCGACACGATTTTCAGGTTGTCATTTGACTAAATAGTTCCTTTAAACACAGAGACGGGACACTTAGCATATAAATTGTCAAATAGTCAAATGAATAGGCTTTATGACAGCATATTTAACTACATCAAATACGTGTGTTTAGTTAAAGAAATCATGATTAATACTATTTGATGTGTGATATAACCTATTTTCACACATCTTCACTCTTAATATATATGAATCGCCATAACTACGTGTGCGCTATTTCATGATGACATCACGATTATGAAGTTTATTATCGGAGCTCATTTTCACGCTTTTCTTATTATTCTGCGGCTCATATTTTTATGATCATGATATTTACCCACGAAAATATCATTTGGGCGTAAATGCCTATATGGTATAAACTGAGTGGGTTGTTCCTGCCTATATGGTATACACTGAGTGGATTGTTCCTGCCTATATGGTATACACTGAGTCGATTATTCATGCCTATATGGTATACACTGAGTGGATTGTTCCTGCCTATATGATATAAACTGAGTGGATTGTTTTGCATTAAATACATTTCTACTCACGTGATCCCACCAGCATTCGCTAAAGTTTGGCAGCTGATGTTCCAGTGTATACTCGAGTAATTCAAACATGATACTCAGCACAGTACATAACCACCAGTCCCTCAGTATTAGCGTCTGTCAAATAGACCAAACAGGATTAGGTACCCTCCACTAGGCGTTACTAAAAGGACTCGCACAACTAAATCAGCCAATCACCAAGTGGTTCATACGATTGTAATTTCTACTTAGAATTTGTTTGGTTCAATACAGTGCCTCTGAGTATGTTAAATGTGTAATTGTTGACATATTTTCATTGAATGAAAGCTACAGATACAATGTATTTAACATTGGAAAGTACTAGTAGATTTTGATATGTGATGGCATATTTATATGGTGTCAAATATCATGGATGTTCCTGTCTCTGTTTGCTTGGAACTTCTGGTTGTCAAAATCAGAAGACAGTAACGCTCTTATATACCATTAAAGCAGCCAAGAATGTTTTTAAGCCTTTGTATGTATCTATGAATCAAGACAGCTGTCACTAGTTTTGAACTTCAATTATAAAAGCTGTTAGCTCAAAAGCTAGGTAATAACATAGTGTAAATGATTTAGTAAAGCGAGTCCTAAAACACCTCAAATTCATCATAATAATAGCAGAGTACACCGACTTAAAATGTTTGCAGATAAAAGAAATTACAAATCAGATTAAATGTGTCGTACTACTGCTAAATAATATCTCCCTTATGCAGTTGACAAAGGTTGGTTCTTACATATACATTTACATAGAAGGAAACTGAACCTGTATGAAAACAGTCCAAAGTCCTGCTTTCGAATCCCGGTTTAGCCTCGCTAAATGTTAACACTGTTTTTGATTACATTTCAATTGTTTAATCTTTATTCTTTCTCATAAAATTCCCGCAATATATTGTTTTCCTTTCAAAGCTATGATCATGCCGAAAAAAAAACAGTTTCCAATACTGTTTATGGCAGCTGTACAAGGATCCTTTCCCTTCCAAGAGTTCGATTTTGTGTTATAATACATATAAAATTAAGTCGCAAAGCTATTATTGAAATAATTAATGTTCTCCTTACAATCTACATGTAGCTTTCCTGTTACAAAAAAATAAGCTTTTACCCACAGGACATCTTACCTTTGCCCACCACCCAAAGAAATGAGTTGGAACAAACACATCTACTTTGTCCTGAAAGGAAAACATAAAGAGAATGATCACAAATAATGGAATCAAATTGGTTATAGTTTTGACATATCACGATGTCGTAATTTTACAATTGTATTAACAAGAAGTCCAATTTGAAAGGGTTATAGAAATGGCTAATCAACAAGTCGTACACAGATTAGGGTTGTTATAGCTATAACGTTATAATGCACCCACAGGTTGTAAACAGATTAGGGTTGTTATAGCTATAAAGTTATAATGCACCCACAGGTTGAAAAAGGACCGATAGTTGTTGGCAAAGAGAAATAACTCACCCACAGGTTGTGAAATGGGTCAGTGTTGTCAGGGTCGTAAATAAAACAATTCCCTCCATAAGCTTTCTCCGGCATCTCCCTCCCAAGTCTGTCATCAAAGTGGGTAAGAAGCTGACGGGCATCCTTTTTTGACTACAGAAAAATAATTAGAGGCATGAAATTCACTATTCAAATTATGCCGCCGTATGTAAATCCTCATCTTTATATTTCACAATATTTCACAAATGTTAGATTAATGCTATATATTTTGCATAACGATATTTTAAATCTGTATTAATCTATTCAAAAGCAATGTTGAAAGTTAATGCATTGGCAGCTGAACTCATGCAGAAACAAAGAGAAGCTGAACATTTGTCCATTGATCTCAAGAAGCAACTGAACTAAAAAGAATTTACCCCAAGAGTAATTGATGCTTAAAGCAAATGTGCTGCAATAAGCTGAACCCACGGGCAGCTGACCCCACAAACAAATTAACTATAAAAAGCTGACTTCAGGAGAAGCTGACTTCAGGAGAAGCTGAATTTAGAAGAAATTAACTAAAATGAAGTTGACCCCTGAACAGTTAGCCTGAGAGAGGCTGATTGACTGGTGCAGTGTAGCCAAATCAGAAGAACCTGTATCAGGGACGAAACAACCGCAGAGGCAGATGACCTAAGGAGCAAATGAATAAAAAGGAAGCTGATCTCAGCAGCACCAGATGACTTCAGAGCCACTAGACCACAGGGAAACTGATCTTAGTAATAGCTGACCACAGGAGCAACTGGACAAAATAGCTGACCACAGGAGCAACTGGACAAAAGACAAGCTGATGTAAAGAAAAGCTGACCACAGGAGCAACTGAACCTAAGAGAAGTTAATCGTAGAGATAAATAACAACAGAAGCAACTTGACCAAAGATAAGCTGATTTTAGGAAAAGCTAACCAAAGGAGCAATTAGACAAAAGAGAAACTGATATTAGGTATAGATGATCACATGAGCGACTGGACCAAAGAGAAGGTAATCTTTGGAATAGCTGATCACATGAACAACTGGACCAAAGAGAAGCTGATCTTAGATATAGATGATCACAGGAGTAATTGGACAAAAGAGAAGCTGATATTAGGTTTGGCTGATCACATGAGCAATTGGACCAAAGTGAAGCTGATATTAGGAATAGCTGACCACAGAAGCAACTGGACTAAAGGAAGCTCATCTTTAGACTAGTTGATCACTGGAACAATTGTACTAAAGAGAAGCTGCTCTTAGGGATAGCTGACCTCAGGAACAACTGGACCAAAGAGAATCTGATTTAAGGAAAAGCTGACCAAAGGTGCAACTGTACCAAAGAGAAGCTGACCATAGGAACTTGACCAACGTGCAGTTGATCTTAGTAATAGCTGACCACAGAAGTAACTGGATAAAAGTAAAGCTGACCTTAGGAATAGCTGACCACAGGAGCAACTGAACCAAAGAGAGGCTAATTGGAATAGTTGACCACGAGAGCAACTGAACCAAAGAGAAGCTGATCTTAGGAAAAGCTAACCACAGGAGTAACTCGACCAAAGAGAAGCTGATCTTACGAAAAGCTGACCACAGGAGTAACTTGACCAAAGAGAAGCTGATTCAACCAGCAGCTGACCTTAAGAGCAGTAAACCATTTGTTACTTACCTGGAAAAGGAGGTAGACAAGGCAAAGTTCATAAACAATGCTGACACAAATCACCAAACGCCAGAATGCTGTCAACGCAAGTACATACAGTCAGATTTAAAAACATGGCAGAATCAATGTTTCATCAATTTACACAACACTTTTTTAGATATTTTCGCTTAACTGTTCTATGCTCTTAGTAAGATAATTTATTCCGAACTGGAATAATGTCATTGGATTCTTAATTTTCCGCTAATTTTGTTGCTATTTTTATCTTAAAAGCACACTTATTTCATTTTTCATTCATTAAGGATCCCTGCCCCACTGCAAGGAAAACAATAAAGTAAAATCCACTTGGTCAGTGTCAAGGTAGCTCAGAAGGTTAGAGAGTGAGAGTAATAATCGGGGGTCCAGGGTTTCAATCTTAATCTGGCCACGTTGCATTTTAATACTCAGAACACTACATGTTGATTAGTTTTCATTTATTTTAATTTTAATTGCTTTATAAAATTTCGCAGTTATAGATTTTATTTTTCAGAAACAATTTAATAGTACCCAGGCAAAAGTCATGCCACAAAATAAATCCAATGCACAATATCTTTTTGGCCTTGGTGCAGGGATCCTTAATTTTTTTCTTTACGATATAATCAAACTAAATGCCATAATTTGAAAGCTAGATCACTATCAACACAATATTGCACAAATAAATACATGGCCATTCATTGTATGACTCACAGTCACTACCCCAAACTATGTACACAAACATATGTATGAATAAACATTGCTTCTTTTCAACACAATACTTGACTTGATAATTATACTCTCCTACATTCACGTTTCCTTGAATTTAAATACCCAGTTACTGTCCGACTTCATGATAGTTAATAAAAAGTTTACTCCACATTGCTTAAAGCTTTATCAGCTTAAGAATTCCTCAATGCAAGTCACAAAATGTAGTTTTTGATAAATTTCTTTAAAAATTCGTTTATTCAATTCCCTTGGTTTTGGATGATTACTTTCAAGCCCTGAAATATATGTACTTCTATATTGGAATTTCAATATATTCAACAAAATAGAAGATGAAATATTTGTGTTATATTGGGTCATAAAGTTAATCGCCAGAATTCGACAATTTGGCCCACATTTAAAACTACACATTAGTGCTACCATTAACAGCTATCTACTTTTATATAGTAATGGTTTAGAATTCCTTTAGTGTCATTATTAGCCACAATTTCCATCGCACTACAAATACTCTTAAACATACTTTCTAAAACTTCCCGGGAACGTATATGGCGGACGTCGTTATAGCTAACTATTATGTGACGTCATAGTTTATGACGTCAATACTTCAAATAAACAGTCTGAAGAATCTCCCAGAAGAGATGAAAGTACTAAAGTCTCGTTGTTAAGAAGTTTTCTTTATATAACATATATATGTATATAGTTTACCAGTCATGTGACTTAAATAAAGTACATGTGAACAGACATACTATTATGTAGGGGTTAAATGCATTAGCCTTGTACCTAATAATAAATGCAGGTGAAGACATGGAAACAAATATTGTGCATTTTCAAAGGTTTATTAAAAAACCCGTAATCTTAATGAAAAAGCAAAAGTTAGTTTTGACACAGTAAGATTGGTGAAACAATGATTAATTTCAATGTTAAATTGTCATTACATCACACCTTAACCCAGAAAGGATGCTCATGCCAAACAGTTTTTGGGACACATACATATGGAGTTGCACACATTTTTGATAAAAACTTACACCAAAACCTTTATAACTCTCAGGATGGATGCCGACATCAGGGGTACAGCATTAAAGCTCATGGTTATTGATAACCAGTGAGCTAAAGAATTAAAGCTTAAAGAGATATCATATATGAAAGAGTAGTCACTGAACGATGACCGATTTCAAAATACAAATGACAAAATTAGGGGTCTCACTGTTCTATCCGCAACACTATGCTGGTGTATAAATATATGATTAATATTACTATAATTCAATATTTTATTTAAAGCAAGTTATTTATAAATAAAAGACATTGATGAAATTAAAACTAGAATTATGTCAGTGTGACATTAAAGCCGCTCACCACTTTAAATTTAATTGCTTCAGTTACACGTTGAGGATCAATATCTTCTATAATACCTCAGATGTGTGTTCTGTATTCTGCTAATTGAAAATCAGGTCATGTGATGATGTTGCCTTTGGGATTTCGAAAATCAATCACCTCTAAATGATGCCTTGAGTTTGGCAACTTAAGAATCTTACCCCTCGGGTTGAGATCCCCCTGTCTCACCCCCCAGGGGGTGAAAGATTCTATTAGTCTTTGCTTCAAGGATACATATCTGGTTTCCCCACTGAAGGGCTACTTTCGGACGAAAAAATATCAAGGACAAGGTGTAGAAAGGGGAAGCAACTCTGTTTATGCACGCATGTGTTACCATTAAAGAGCTTTGCTCGGGCGCCTTAGGCCCCCGAGAGCTACGCTCTTATTAAAATGCTGATCAGATTTAACCCTCTTAGGAAGCAAGAGTCCACAATACAAGGCATATGGATATAATTGCAAATAATACAACTATTACGAAAATTTAATTTAAAAGATTTTCAATGTTACCTGTAAATATTTGCACAAACCTGGATGTGGCCTTCTGAATGGTCCATCAGGTGTCTGTGTCACTCCGAACAACAAAAAGGCAAGCACCATGGCAATGACTCCTCTAAACGAACAAACCAATACTGAATCATAAACAATAGATGATTTCCAAAGGAAAAAAAAAAAAAAAATATAAAACAAATGTCCCTCTAAGTCCCAATATTTCCTTTACCTTCGAATAAGCAAGATGAAAGTTACTTGAAACAATCGATGACTTTTGCCCTCGAAGAAGGCCAGGAGCTCGAAATATTGGGGCTTAGAGTGACATTTGTTCTATATTTTCAATACTGAATCAGTATCAGGCCTAACAAAACCACAACAAGATGGCCTCAGACCACGGATTCTCTTCCAGGTTGTTGTACTCGAATGTATGTGCATATAAAGACATTTCAGGTAAGTTACTAAATAAAATTATCTGACTGATCTTTGACTGATGTGTACAGGTTTGTTTTATAAAGAAATGTTCAATAATATCTATTCTAGGGGTTTTATGTTTTCGAGATTGTTTTGCAGCAGGAAACAATGAGTGATTTTTGTTATTTTCCCAAATGTATGCTGGGTAGTGACATTCAAGTCAAATTATCTTTCTTAAATTCCGGTCATAAGGTACATTTCTGAACTTTCCAGCTGCCAGGTTCAGTTTGAAAAGAACTACAATAGGAAATAGGGACAAGACCCTGAGCAAAGTATTTTAATATTTGTATTCTTTTGATACTAACATAACTAAGGAGTGGAATTATGTGTGATATGAGGACAGGTATGCCCTGGACACACGATCCACCAACAGACGAGGAACAGTCCTCATGATTCCCTCTTGTATAATTGATTTGTAATGATGAACCGAGTTGTAAAACAAAATTACTATGGGGAACACAAAATCATGAAATAAATATCAACAGTTGCTCTTGATCCATTAAGGTTTCGGGCTTGCCCCTTTATCATAGACTGAATGGTCTTTGCTTTTACATAATTACATATCCACGTTCAAATATGGATGTGACATAAGGATGAAGACCTTCTATCAATGATGAAGGGGTAAGCCCGAAAGCTGGGTACAAGAGTAACTTGATTTTTATGTTATCCCAGGACTTTAAGACTGGAGGTAAAATAATACTAAATATATCCATAGGTACTGTTTCCAAGACAAATGGTGATCACATCTTTCACATAAACTCTGGTGCAACCTCAAACTGAAATTATGTGCAATATGAATAAGTTTACTCTTTACCCTTTCACCCCTATGTACCGTTAGTAGACTCTATCTTGCTTTATGGGAATAGGTCCATTATGGTGCACAGGGGTGAAGGGTTAAGTAATTATGATTCCTTAATTTCGTTTAGTTCCCAGCTTTTGAGAGTATGAACAAACTATTGAACACATTTCCATACTCCTTTTTTCCAACTTAAGACATCACAGGATAACTAACAAAATTCTTATGAAAATGTCTATTTAGTGTAAGTAAATATTATCCATTGAAGAAGTTCTACTGTACTCACCTTTTACTGTTGTATTCAGAGTCATTCACCTGATCATCAAACAGTGCAATGTACAGGAGGCAGCAAGCGAACATGACCAGCACTGTCAGGGTGTGGGCTTGCCTTGAGAAAAAATCAACATGTTACCGTCTTTTGAAACCCAGGTTTACAGAGTATAACATAGGGTTTTCAGATCATCAGTATATTATAAATGCTGATCAGTTAGAATTATAAACACAGGTAAGAACAAAGGAAGCCAGCTGGATAACAGATTGATGATCAGGCAAAAACACAGGTCATCAGCTAGGTAACAGAGAATGATGAACAGGCAAGAACACAGGTCATCAGCTAGGAACACAGTTCATCAGCTAGGTAACAGAGAATGATGAATAGGCAAGAACACAGGTCAGAACACAGGTAATACAGGATGATGAACAGGAAAGAGCACAGGTCATCAGCTAGGTAACAGAGAATGATGAATAGGCAGGAACACAGGTCATCAGCTAGGTAACAGAGAATGATGAACAGGCAAGAACACAGGTCATCAGCTAGGAACACAGGTCATCAGCTAGGTAACAGAGAATGATGAATAGGCAAGAACACAGGTCATCAGCTAGGTAACAGAGAATGATGTACAGGCAATAACACATGTCAACAGCTAGGTAACAGAGAATGATGAACAGGCAAGAACACAGGTCATCAGCTAGGTAACAGAGAATGATGTACAGGCAAGAACACATGTCAACAGCTAGGTAACAGAGAATGATGAACAGGCAAGAGCACAGGTCATCAGCTAGGTAACAGAGAATGATGAATAGGCAGGAACACAGGTCATCAGCTAGGTAACAGAGAATGGTGAATAGGCAAGAACACAGTTCATCAGCTAGGTAACAGAGAATGATAAATAGGCAAGAACACAGGTCATCAGCTAGGTAACAGAGAATGATGAACAGGCAAGAACACAGGTCATCAGCTAGGTAACAGAGAATGATGAACAGGCAAGAACACAGGTCATCAGCTAGGTAACAGAGAAAGATGAACAGGCAAGAACACAGGTCATCAGCTAGGTAACAGAGAATGATGAACAGGCAAGAACACAGGTTATCAGCTAGGTAATAGAGAATGATGAACAGGCAAGAACACAGGTCATCAGCTAGGTAACAGAGAAAGATGAAAAGGCAAGAACACATGTAATCAGCTAGGTAACAGAGATTGATGAACAGGCAAGAACACATGTCATCAGCTAGGTCACAGAGATTGATGAACAGGCAAGAACACAGGTCATCAGCTAGGTCACAGAGATTGATGAACAGGCAAGAACACATGTAATCAGCTACACACCACATGACACATGATATTTCTATTAAAATTTTGAAGTGAATAAATCACAATATTTCCATTATGATCTACTCGGTACAATACCATTTTTGTATACATAGATATCTGCTCATAAACAAAACAAACATTTATCAAAAAAAATAATCTGAAAATGTTTCAATTTTAGATTTTAGACATTTCCAGATATTTTTTAAACGTTTTTTTCCTATTTGATTTTACACAGATACTAATTCAAATACAGTTTAATATTTGATCTATGTTACAAATTTAATCCATTTCATAGAAATACAATATACAATACACTACAATGTGTCTGTAGGCCTATAGCATGTATGGACCAGGTTGAGGATGAGGAGCACACAATTACCTGATGTCCAATTTCTGATGATATCTGATGTCTATTATCAAAGTTTCACTTTTATAAACAAACAATGTGCATATTAAACATGTAAAAACATTTCAAGACTGACTGGTCCCTTTGTGAAGCTATGAGTGTATCTTGACAAAGGGACCAGTTGGTCTTGAAACCTAGTCAAGCTTGACAAAGGGACCAGGTTTTGAAACGTAGTCAAGCTTGACAAAGGGACCAGAAGGTTTTGAAACGTTTAATACATATGTTGTTTGTGTACAAAATAAAACCTAGTCAAGCTTGACAAAGACACAAGTTGGTCTTGAAACCTAGTCAAGCTTGACGAAGGGACCAGAAGGCCTTGAAACCTAGTCAAGCTTGACAAAGGGACCAGTTGGTCTGGAAACCTAGTCAAGCTTGACAAAGGGACCAGGTTTTGAAACGTAGTCAAGCTTGACAAAGGGACCAGAAGGTTTTGAAACGTTTAATACATATGTTGTTTGTGTACAAAATAAAACCTAGTCAAGCTTGACAAAGATACAAGTTGGTCTTGAAACCAAGTCAAGCTTGACGAAGGGACCAGAAGGTCTTGAAACCTAGTCAAGCTTGACAAAGGGACCAGTTGGGCTTGAAACCTAGTCAAGCTTGACAAAGGGACCAGAAGGTCTTGAAACCTAGTCAAGCTTGACGAAGGGACCAGTTGGTCTTGAAACCTAGTCAAGCTTGGTCAAGCTTGACAAAGGGACCAGTTGGTCTTGAAACCTAGTCAAGCTTGACAAAGGGACCAGTTGGTCTTGAAACCTAGTCAAGCTTGACAAAGGGACCAGTTGGTCTTGAAACCTAGTCAAGCTTGACAAAGGGACCAGTTGGTCTTGAAACCTAGTCAAGCTTGACAAAGGGACCAGTTGGTCTTGAAACCTAGTCAAGCTTGACAAAGGGACCAGTTGGTCTTGAAACCTAGTCAAGCTTGACAAAGGGACCAGTTGGTCTTGAAACCTAGTCAAGCTTGACAAAGGGACCAGTTGGTCTTGAAACCTAGTCAAGCTTGACAAAGGGACCAGTTGGTCTTGAAACCTAGTCAAGCTTGACAAAGGGACCAGTTGGTCTTGAAACCTAGTCAAGCTTGACAAAGGGACCAGTTGGTCTTGAAACCTAGTCAAGCTTGACAAAGGGACCAGTTGGTCTTGAAACCTAGTCAAGCTTGACAAAGGGACCAGTTGGTCTTGAAACCTAGTCAAGCTTGACAAAGGGACCAGTTGGTCTTGAAACCTAGTCAAGCTTGACAAAGGGACCAGTTGGTCTTGAAACCTAGTCAAGCTTGACAAAGGGACCAGTTGGTCTTGAAACCTAGTCAAGCTTGACAAAGGGACCAGTTGGTCTTGAAACCTAGTCAAGCTTGACAAAGGGACCAGAAGGTCTTGAAACGTAGTCAAGCTTGACAAAGGGACCAGAAGGTTTTGAAACGTTTAATACATATGTTGTTTGTGAGCAAAATAAAACTTTGATATCACATATTTCCAAACTGATAAAACACAAATGTTTAATTTCCAAAAGGTATGTACTAAGTTGTGAATTTTCAAGTTAATGGCTTTATAAAGAATGTCTGATAATAATCCCACCCCAGTTTTCCGTACTTTCCATAGGGTGGGAGACCCTAAAATGACCTCCCCTCATTTTTGACACATTTCTTTGCACAGGCGGCCATAGGATTATCATCCATGAAATAAGGTTTGAATTATTTCTTTTTGCTAATTTATTTGAATCTTACCAGAAAAAGGACATTGTTCCATCATCAAAGATGTCCTTCTTCTTGTTCTTATCCGTCTCCCAGTCATAGGCTGTGGCCATGTGTAGTTTTAGCACATCTGGCTTGACCTCATTCTGGGCTGATGCCATGGCTATTTGACCTCTTGGGATCTCTAGATCTGATGACCTTTCAACTTTCAACTGTCCTGTTTTATCAGGACTCAATCTAGGTCGTCTCTTGCACCTAGAGGGGAAAACAATAGACTGAGATGAATAAAAGGAATGACTCTCACTTGATGTAAGAAATGCATACATGTATTTATGCAAATCAGGTCATTACAAACTTGCAACATGTATTCACTGGGGAATCACACCAACACGTGCCAGTACTTAAGCTTCAGTCAGAGGGGTCACAATCTCACAAACTTGTCAACCAGGGCTTGTAGAGTATATAGTCATCAACTGATCCTGTTCAATAAATTAAAGATTATACGTTTTTTAACGGGATCAATAGAGGTGTTGTTGATCATCTTTCTGTTTGTAATGCAATTATTTAAAGGCTTTTACACCATCAGGCCAAACAAAAATCAGGCCAAACAAAAATCAGGCCAAACAAAAAAAGCATGTTTGTTTCCCGTTACATGCCTGAAAAAAATTGCGGAAGGTAGGCATTTTGATAACATTTTTTTCTTTTTACTCTAACACTTACTGTGTGCTTCCTTAGCTGAAAACTGCCTCGAAAAAGTTTAGCTTAGGCACAAAAAATTATGGTAGGTGGGGTAACCAGGTACATTTTTTTATTTGACCTCATCATGTCCACAAAGTTAAAATCATGCTATATGGATGAATGGATATGTGTAACAAGAGAACAAGGAATGAAATGGCCAGACAGAGATTCAAACCAGGGACCCTCCGAACTCTGATGAGCTACCCGCTGGTCGCCAACTATCAACCCAGTCCGGTTCCACTACATTCCTCCCAATTCCAATAACATTTTCAACCCCAAAGACACCCTTTAGACCATATTAACACCTTCTCAAGTTCTGTGGGAATATTTAGCTGTAACAGGAAAGAAACAAACATGCAATGGCCAGTCTAGGATTCGAACTCGGTACCCTCCAAACTCTATACAGATGCCCTACCAATAGAGCTATCTCAGGTCACTAATGAATGATTGGTTTTAGTTTGGTTTTATATTGTTTAAGTCCTATTTATAGCTGAGGTCATTTAAAGATGTACCAATGAATGACCCAGTCCAGGTCCAAATCCGCTATAAATGAGCAGATGCAAATTAAATATTTGCTTCCTATCCTGGGAATACTTCTGATTTCCTCACCATGTGATGTACCTGATGCATTGTCTAACAGTGCCTATGAATTTTCCATAGACAGGCAATTGTGAATTGGCCTGCAGAAACCGGATATTCAAAAGCCAAACTCAATTCTTCATAGACCCAACAAGTGTTGTCAATGCAGTTTTTTTCTTTCATTAGAGTTTTGTTTGTTTTTCTGGGGATTTAAATACCCTGCAACAGCTTATATCATATAAAGACTGCACGGTGCCTACTAAGGGAGACACCACCATATTGTCAGCTTTACTTAAAAGTTTACCTACCGTTCTACAGTGGGTCATTTATTATACTGTGATTATATACAGAAAGGTCAATACAGTACACTCAAGGCTAATTCCTACAGTAAATTTCCTCAGATGTTTTATTGGCCATTTCAATTCCAAGTGGACCCATGGCCAATGTGTCCTGCCCTTTAAATCCCTGGTAAGATAGAAGAAAACACTTAGCAAACGATCCTGATATTTGTAGTTTTAAGCCAGTGTATCAATATTGTATCAATCAATTTTCCTTCATATACATATACATGTACATGAACATGCATGTCAAATTCAACCTACTAGTCCTTGGTGTCCTTGGTGCTTAGCAATTTGGGAAAATTAAGATGATTTCGGAATTCTTAAATAATAGCAATGGTGGACAATTTTTCTTTTACTTAAGGGTCCCTGTCCAACTGCATGCAAAACACTAGAGAATTTCACTTTATTTGTTTGTACATACAGTTGCCTCCCCTTACTTTCGTTTTGGATATCACTGGGTCTGTGTACTACCGTTGGCAAGACATTTACATATGTAGCTCAACATAATGACCTGAGGTTCGGTTTTTCCCCGGTTTGGCCTGTTGCCTTCTTTGATTTTTCCATCCAGAGCACTTCATGTTGTTGATTGACTGTGGTTTATTTAGTATTTATGATTTTTCCATAAAATTCTGTAAGATACCTGGTATTGTGAAGCATGGTGAAATGAACCGCGTTTCATATTACCATAATGGTGAAATGAACCCGCCCCATGGTGAAATGAAGGGTTCCATCGATTTCTATTCTAACAAACTTTTTTCTATTCCTTTTCTTTAGGTTTACTTCAAGTTGATGTATACTATCTGAAAACCACAAAAATTATGTCTGGGGTGCGCTTCACTTGTGAAATGAAGGGTTTTAGCATTTTTTTTTCTATATGATTTTTTTTAAACCAAATCTGATTTACATTTCATAAGTTTGGTGTCCTGAATATGAAAATCACAAAAATTATGTTTGGAGTAGAAAAAATTAGGGTGGGGCAGGTGCCCTTCACTTTACCATAATGGGAAATGAAGGGTTTTAGCATTTTTTTTCTATTTGACTTTTTTAAACCAAATCCATTTAGATTCCATCAGTTTGATGTCCTGAATATGAAAATCACAAAAATTAAGTCTGGGGTAAAAAAATATAGGGTGGGGCAGGTGCCCTTCACTTTACCATAATGGGAAATGAAGGGTTTTAGCATTTATTTTTCTATTTGACTTCTTTTTAAACCAAATCCATTTAGATTCCATCAGTTTGATGTCCTGAATATGAAAATCACAAAAATTAAATCTGGGGTAAAAAAAACTAGGGTGGGGCACGGGTCCTTCACTTTGCCATTATGGTGAAATGAAGGGTTTCAGCATTTTTTTTCTATTTGACTTTTTTAACCAAATCTGTTTTACTTCACATCAATTTGATGTCCTGAATATGAAAATCACAAAAAAAAAATCTTGGTTAGAGAAAATCAGAATGGGGCAGGGGCCCTTCACTTTACCAAAATGGTGAAATGGTTAATTGCAGTGAAGTGGTGAGACTCTTGGATCATAAAACAGGATAGGGAACACTTAATTATAAGGGTAGGGATGCTTATTAGGATGATTATGGTACGGTTGTTTAATAAATAACTGTATCTGTTTAAGTCCTATTTATAGCTGAGGTCATTTAAAGATGTACCAATGAATGACCCAGTCCAGGTCCAAATCCGCTATAAATGAGCAGATGCAAATTAAATATTTGCTTCCTATCCTGGGAATACTTCTGATTTCCTCACCATGTGATGTACCTGATGCATTGTCTAACAGTGCCTATGAATTTTCCATAGACAGGCAATTGTGAATTGGCCTGCAGAAACCAAAGCATACTTGCCAACCTTTTGGAATTTCCATGGGGGCCAGAATCCTTTATAGTTCAAAATCAATTTAAACAAATAAATGTGTGTATATACCCTAGGTAAAAAATAACTTTGAATAGCAAGTTTTGTGTTTTTTCTTGCTGATGAAATATTAATTTCTTACATCACAATATTCATGCTAAAAACGTGTTCATAAATGAAATACAACACCTGTTAGTCAGTGTGAAGTCATAAAGGACACTCCAAAGTCCGACTGCACGCTAGCACTCCTAGCTGTATATATATATTGATTAGTATGCATTTCGGTTATAACTGTTACTATCTATATCAACACGTCATAACATGTACACTTATGACAGTTGTACAGTCGTTTTCTCTTCTACCACTTACAGTGTATAATGCACGCGTGATACTGACAACAGACGGTCGATCGATATACATTCATGAGTACACAATGTACTTTATACTGTACCTCGGTCACTCCAGGTAGATCATGACTAGCCTATGTCGTACATGAACAACTGTTAACACCAATAGTATATGTTTTAAGATACATGAAAAAGGTGTCGATTTCATAAATTCAGAAATATGACAACTTCTATTCTGTCAACCTACCTTTTCGACCCCTATCTCCCACATAACACCCCCATGTACAGGTGTTGTGTACAGCACTGAGTACTGTTAGTTTACACTTGTACCGGAAGGGATTCCAGAGGTCAACTATGGCTGGGGTTTTGACACAGGGGTTTGACAATGGTCTACATTTATTTAGATTAGTAAACATGGCTTTTAGTATTTACGTTAAAAATTAAAACATTAGCTTAAATAACGTTAGGTCATAAAGTTGATGCAATTTTGAAATGATCTATAATGTAAGTAAAGGGATATTGCTTATAACTTTTACTCTTGCTCAATACTACAACTTGTGGACCCACTGCCTACCCCAGCACATTATGAGTCGACGTATACATAGTAGGGCTTATGTCACAGGTGTATCTCGTTACTTCATTTTCACACATGGAATTATATGAATACTGATACGTTACTATTATGGTTGTGTGTGAGTTAATTTGACATCCAATTTCAATAAACTGTACTACGTATGTTCTGTAGGTTGGAGAACTATCTATTGTTTGTTGCTACAGCCACGGAATTAGATTATCCAAGTCCGTGCTACAGCTAACTTTGTATAATATATATGTGTCTATGGTTCTGTCATTTTTGTCTTGATATTTTTTAAACACAAAATATAATGTGGTGAGTGTATGATATTTAGTCAAAACTAAGAGTTTCGGCTTGTGGCTGACCGCTCCGCCTCACTTTAATCTGGATTAGTATTATATCTACATGCATGCCTTGGTTGTGAACAAAATGCAGATTAAGTTCATAACACATTCACCTACCGTGACAGTCCAATACAATGTTACATCCAACAAAAATTATGAACTTTGCCATGAGCTTGACTGTCTTCCATTTCGAAAATGGGCCCCGGGTTCCTGGCCTCAGTTTGGTCCGCTTTTGCTAATATTTACATAGGTCGGTAAAATATCGATCGGTACATGACTGTAACTCATGAACCTTTGTGACCCGACTAATATGTTGTTTCTCCCGGTCTAGTTTATTTATTCAGGTTGTTTTCATTGATTGCTTTAGCCCCTATGCTATTTCAACGTAACTGAATTCGCTGGTTAAATTACTCTGTCATTAATTGTGACATTAATTGTGTGTATTGTGAGTCAGAAATTCTCCTCATTTCCCCTTTTCAATAAAACAATATATTTGACCCAAATATCGATATTTATTGATATCCTGTTCTTACACTACCCGAGTCATCTTTGACATTAGGCTCTTCCATGTTGAACCAAACCTATATGTATATTCTCTTTCTCCCCTTCTAAGTATCAATTTGACCTTATGACGTAGTTCCAAAAGAGTTTGCTGTTGATTTTTAAGTTTGATTATTGTCATTGTATGATATTAGACCAAGCACTATATGTGCAGTACATATGGGTTGATGTTGATCCAAAATCTAAAATCTAATTTAACAATCTCATGGGGATCGCCGCTTGCCCCGCTCGGCCTATAAGTACTCTTTAGCGATTAAACCAATTGAAATCCGATTCGCTCTGTTGAGCGATTAACAAATAACAAAATTACGTACAATAGGTTAAAGAAAAAATACCCTGGTGAACGGTGTTTTAAAATACGCTTAAAATAAAATTAACAGAAACTTAAGAAGTATCATAAATTCTTGAAAAGGGATGGAGTCCAAACTTATTTTAGCACATAATTTATGACTAGCAAAAGATGCTCAAAATGGGGAAAAAAGGCGTTATTATATATACATAACTTCTAAAAATATATTTAGAAATGGACAGCCCCACCCTCTCCCGAGATTTGATATACTTTTATACCATTGAAAAAGTATACTACGGTACAGAATGAAATGAAAGCTTTCATATCTTTGTGTACCATGGGAAAAGTGTACAGAATGGCTACAAGTTGGCTGTAAGGACATAAACAAGTGAAAGTAAATGTGACCTTTAAAATTTCGTTTATTATCTTTATATACATGTACCACACATGGTAAATAATTGCAAATAATTGATTTTTCATATTATTGTGTACCGTGGTACACCTTATGTGGCACGCAATGACATGATTTTTCATATCTTTGTTTAACATCGTACACTATATTATGGTTCACAATGATATTAAAAATCATTCTTTTTGTCCGGTTCTTATCGGCCATCGGTAAGATGGGGAATGGGGAGATAGCTCGGTGTACGCGACATGTGTATGTCACCAGCCGTGCGAAGGGAAGTAACTCGATCGACATATCCTGTGTGGGACAGGCTCGGTCCCAGACAGAGTTGCACTGACTTGATATTATGAAAATTTGCTTCAATACAATAACAAAGGTAATACATTCATGATTATCAGTTCCTCTAGGTATGGTAGAAAACAAACATAAAACCCCAGCATGCATGCTTTTGATACCACAGGGACCTGCTAATTTGTTATAGCTATATTTGGATCTAAATTAAGTTGTTTAGAGTAATTTCACACGTTTCAGGGGTTTAGATCAAATTTCGGTAAAAATGCCACTCCCGATGATGAAAATAAGCAAAAATGTTCAGAGTAATTTTACACGTTTCGGGGTTTAGATCAATTTTCGGTAAAATGCCACTCCCAATGATGAAACTAAGCAAAGGTGCTTAGAGTAATTGTACACGTTTTAGATCGACTTTCTGTAGAAATGCCCCCAAATGTTGATGTCTGTATTCCTCGCGTTTAAATAAACCGTCTAATTAAAGCATCTTCTGGTACGATGAACAATACAGCGCACATGTGACGCCACCATCCCAGGGCCCCGAATTTTGAAAGCAAAACGCCGATAAGCGTTTTATATTCTGAATTTTATATGTGCATGTCTATTAACATATATTGGTAGTCATAGTTCTGATTTATAAACGGGGAGATATATATATATATATATACATTGTGTACGCATATGAAGGTCGATTATTATTTATCAAACTTCTTAAATTAAGTAAAAAAAATAATCACAGGAAGGTTCATAATTATATAAATGTAAACTGTCTTTATTTTCCCCAATGATAACATATTGTTGGGGCGATGGAAGTGCGATCTAGGGTCTTACGTGGGAAGAAGCCGGAGTACCCAGGGACACTTGTACCGTGGGGCAGTTAAATGTAGGTGACCAACTTATGTACCTTTTATGTCCGATTGGTTCATTGAACTTTGGCCACCTAGGTTAAAGCCGAGTGCGCTATCCACTGCGCCATCCGACCACAGTTTGTCAAACTTAATACTAGCTGGAGTGTAGAAAAAATAAAGATAAATAACACGAGACAATATACTGAACAAAACAAAGCCCCAAACAAACACATACACATTTACCAGGACAAATTCTTAACATTTTGGCAGTAGGTGAGTAACTCTGTAACAGTCCACCTCAGGGTCTGGGAGTTGATGGGTCACATTCTTTCTTCATTCAAAACTACATGATTTGGATAAATAACTGGTCTATGTATGGATACAGAGTTTTCATATGGTCAACGCAGTAAAAAATATCATGACACATCGATGTAGATTAGATAATATATAAGTACGTGCACATATTAATTGAAGACTAAAGTGAAATAACAGGGGCTTGAAGTCAATGGTCAACTTAATTATGACTAATTGCAGCCTTTCCAAATACTTAATTATTACTATATTAAGCTATTATAATTCTGCGCTAATGAGTTATTGATTTATTTATATCAGGGCCTAATCAATTTGTCTACACGATGACTGGACAAATAACACCATCTAGTTATGTACCGAATTCGTCAATCACGACACTTGAATACCGATGAAGACCATGTCGTATTGCCACGGGCGATAACTGTGACATTATCATACCATCACCGGTAGACGTCGCACAAGTGACTACAAGCAGGAAGTCGCATGCTGTTTGTTTTCATATCGGACAGGTGCAAATCAACAACAAACATTTTTTTTTTAATCACAGGTGTGTGAAGTAATAACATCGATCTGGTGGACAACATGATCAACTTTTAAACGCGATAGGCCTATTGGAATCAAGGTTTGATTTCGATTTAACGAATCGACTGTTGTAAGCTATTCAAAGTGGGTGAATATTTTAGAAATGATATCATTTCGCTCCTGTCCGAGAATGGCCGGGGGAGTTATCGCGATCAGCTGTTTTGTTTAAAGGAGATCATCGTCAAGTGTTCAAGTGTTGCACCGATATGTTCTTGGTCCTGTAACTGTGGCTCCTGTTCGAGAGAATAGCACCATAAAACACTCGAAATGTCCTGGAATCCTACGCACGTTCAATTAACAGGTAAATTTATATATGTGTACCGTGTGTATTGTGTGTTTTGCATGCCTAAGACTGTACTTGTTGATGTATGACCTTATCCGTCTTTCACACCTCGTTCGTCTGTTGTTGACACGTATGCATGTAGTATTTATCACGCATTCACGTACATCATTACATGTTAATTACTAAGTGTATCAAATGTACTCTGTGGCCTATACATATCACATGACACCTGTGGTTGTGTATTTAATGCAAGTGTCCGTTAAGCGTTGAAGGGGGTGTGTCCGAATAAGCTGTGTATTTTGATTAGTTTTTGGTTATCACAGCTGACGGTGTAGGGTTACGTCTTATGATTTATGAATGCCTCGACCTACAATTTTTGTTGAATCATTAAGCCTTAAATTAATTAATCAAATATGTTAATGAATTAATTTTTGAACTGATAAGAACCAGAATGAAGCCTTTACATCCCAGTATACTTATAGCATGCATACACATAACTCATGTTACTATCAACTCACTGTACTGGTCTGCAGTAACCTTTTTACATATACATGTATATGTGTTTGTCCTGAAATGAAGTAAATTAAGTCATGGAGGTTCCCCAATGAGTGATATTTGGTTATCATATTTATCTAACTCAAGTTATTTAATTAATTATACCTCCAAATTGTAAAAAGACATGAGTTTAACCTTGATTTTTTTAATTAAGAGTTAGATAAACATAGAGGCCTGTACAGATAATTTCAGCGCTCTGTCATTTCAGAACTTGAATAAGATGTTTTGGTCCTAAAAAATGTTTCAATATTTTAGAAGATTTCCGGCATTTAGACTGACATTTTAACTCTCCACTTTGTTCGCATTTTGTGTCCGGTGTGCTCTTGACTACTAGAATGTATAATTTTATTTTCAGAATGATAAGCAATTGAGTTTTTGTCTTTACAAAAATGTACTGAAACATCCTAATTCTTAGGTATACAGAAACAACCGGATACTTAAATGTCTAGGGTTTGATACATGTATATATATAAACATGATGATCAACCATCAGGAGTTTAGGGACGTTTTTCTCCTACAACGTATAGATATTATATCTAGAATACCATATGTTCTCTTAGGAATACCTTATTCCTGTTTCTGGCAGTTGGCATCATAATTAGAATATTGACCAATGAAATAACATGGTGTTGCCATTCACTTAGCTAGTGGCCCATGGGTAACCCAAAAGGTTACAAACTTCTAGCAGGTTTATCCAATGAGTCGTGAGTGGTCATTTAGGAAACCTAGAGTGCACATGGTTGTGGCAGAAATACCTGCTACTGTTAAATTATTTATGATAATTTTGATTTTAAGTATTCTGATTTAAAACAAAAAAGATCTTATGCCTTCTTTTGATGCAAAAATGTGTTTACCCTTATTTGTTTTTACACTTTGATAGAACCAGTACATGTATGATATTCAAAAATATTACGTCTCATATACTTGCCAATTTTTAAAAATTTCCATGGGGGAGATTCTGCTTGCTTATAATTAAAACATAAATAAAATGTGTGTATATACCCTCTAGATATGAAATTACCCTTTAAAATTACATATTTTGAGTTGTTCTTTCAGATGTGATCATTAGATCTTAGAATAAAGGTTTAGTTTAAAAACACTCTTTGGCTGAAACTACCAAATTTAAGGGTCCAAAATCGAGAGTCTCCCTCCTAAAATGGAGGGAGATCAAGTTGGCAAGTATGATGTATCTTATGAATCAATGAATATAAATGTACCTTTAGCTTGGCTTAAAAGCCTGCATTGTATTTACTCCAACAATGTTAGAGGTTTTACATATCCGATAGAAAAAAGGCCGACCAGCGACTCATGTTATGGGAGTAGCATTGTAGTATGCCCAATACTTAGATTGCATTATCAATTACAGTGTAAATTGTGGTATATCTATGATTTTAATAGTTTTTCATATTTATTTACTTGTTTCAGTACTGCGGGGACGGAATCTGTTAACAAAAGGCAAGGGAGGTAAGCAGAATATTTCTGTAAAGCAAATGAAGCATATTTATTACATTCCTTCTTCATATTTAATTACATTCCTCCTTCATATTTAATTACTAACTTTTTAAATTTCCATGAGGGACATTGCGCTAGCTCAAAATTAAAAGCATAAATAAAATGTGTGTATGAACACCTTAAGGAACTTTCAGATGAAATCATCAGATCTTAGAAAATAGGAATAGTTTAGCAAATTCACAGATGGAAAATGCTCATTTTTGGGGTCCGAAATAGGGAAAGTTGGCAAGCATGCTGCTTCCATAAAAAAAAAAAGGAAAAAACTATTACAAGGATCCAATTATACATGTAGATTCAGTAATACTGATTGTTGCTCTCCTGACGTAAATATATTATCAATATTTGTAAGGGATTCTAAGAATTGTAAAAGGAAAAAAGCATGTAAGGCTGATATCCCTTTAGGGTATCAACAAGAAAATCATGGCATCTAGGTTTTTGATGTCATGATGTCAATATGTCATGACTAAATTCAAGGTCACAAACTGTGTCAAATTTGTTAAAAACAGATTGATAATAAATTGTTAATAGTTTGCTGGCATAGAATGCTTCAGCTTTCATGATAGAAAATGACCTTGACACATCCATGTATAGGGCAGGCTATTTTATAGGCAAATGACTAGGGGCATTAAGGGTTATTTCTGGCCTCATTGGAGATTTAGAATTAGTTGCTACCAGGTATATTCGCTATCTGGAATATATGAAGTACGCAAATATGAAGTTTCAAATTCATTCGACAACTGGTTTAGGAGATATGACATTACAAAGAGAGACAAAAACACATTTTTTCATAAATCTAATCTATTTGGTTGAAAATTCTCTGCATGTACCAAACAAATAAATAGTTGACATGCTTAAAAATTGTCATACCATGGCCTGTGTCCATTAGTAGAAAGAAAGTTTTGTTGGACATATGCAGATCTAGAGGCTTTCATTTCTAACTGTCCGAAAACGCTATATTTTGGCTATTTCTGCATAACAATGCAATTTTGTTGCTTGGGTAGGGCATCTATGCATGCGTGTTGGAAAAAATCTGCACCAAGAAAGATAGCCTCAATTAACCAATAGGATGTTTATAATAGAAAACGGTAAATAAATTCAAGTTGACAAAAATGACCCATAACGCCCTAAGTCCTTTTTATGACAGATTGGTAAAGGATTCAATTCCACATGAAAAAAAATGACTAAATTTTCCTTTCTTCAAAAATATAGAAATTCACAACAATATAAGAAAATGAGCATATTATCTTATCATCTTCATTTTTTTAAATTACTGTAGCATTTTCTTATTAAGCCTTATTAGGGTATGTACAAGTAGCAAATAGGAGAAAAAAACCTCTCAAAACATGTTTTCTTCCTCTTGACCTGTTTATTTAACAAGATAATTTATTTAAAAATTGTAAAAGTAAGATTAATCCCTGCAGGGTCAAACTTGTTAAAACACTATGACAATTTTTTCTAAGGAACAGCAGCTGAAAGCCAACAACTATAGCATCATGATATTTCGCTGTCTGGTAGAATGGAGTGCTACATATAAGTATTACCATAGGGATCTAATTCGTTAAAACCCTGAATTACTTATGCTGCAGAACTGAAATGCCTGGAGTCATGACTTGCCAAAATAAAATGCTACAAAATTGTTTTCAAAAAGAAAGGTCACCCAAACCTATTAGGGGGCCGAGCTCGAGGTAGCCAAGTGGTAAAGGCGTCTGACAACATGCTACCACTAGCCCCCCATCACTGGGTCGCACGTCGAGACAGACGTGGGGCAGTCGTCAGGTACTTGCCATAAGTCGGTGGTTTACCTCTTGGAACTCCGGCTTTCCTCCAGCACCACCAAAATCTGACATGTCCTTAAATGACCATAGGTGTTAATAAAGGGTGTAAAACACAAACAAACCAAATGGACCTATTGATGTCATTACCAAACAGATATTTGTTCCAAAGTATAAAACAACTGACATATATGTATTCAGATTTATTGTTGTATGTACTTACATTATTGCAGGTGAAATGTTTAATCTGTTGTTTTTCCAGGGATGAAACTGACAGATGTCTTTGTTTCAATCGTACTGGGCAAGGAAAAGTTCCAAACGTCGACCATCAAAAACGCTCTTAACCCAGAATGGTTTGAGCAGTGTGATTTGTAAGTATATATTATCATTTTACAAGAAAGTTAAGCATATACAATGTATTGTACATGTACATGTGTAGCTAGCTAGAGATTTAAATGTAAAAATGCCTAGGAAAATTAAACATGCCCTATATAGAGTAGCATCATCTACATTGTAAATGCTGAAAGGATTTTATGTTATTTTGAATTCTTGTTGTCAATTAGATTTAAATTTCAAGGTCATTATGTGTCAATTCCTGAGCACCTGAATGTGGGAATTGACATTTTATGTCATCAGAATTAAATGTGAAAGTTCATACATGTATCAAGTTTAATGCTGACAGCTTTGCATAGTGGTTGTGTATTTAATTATTTTGTTTCGTGTCAGTTTGGAAGCTTCCTACAAACAGTATTATCTTAACTATCAACGTTTGAAAGCTTTTGGACTTCATTTATATAATAAACCATACATTCTGGAGCTTTTGACAATGTACATGTACGTAGGTAAATGTTTTAGCTAATTTTAGACAAGCAGTGTTGAAATAACAATCCTTGTTCTAGCATTATATGTATATGTAACTTATTTAAATTAAATTATTTAATGAAATGAAGAAAATATTTCCCTATCTGCTGATTTTAAAATGTTTAGAGAGGGTGAACTGATCTTGATATTGGACAAGTTTTGCATTTATACAAATTATCTGAGAACTCAGATCAAGCCCTGGTCGGACAGATGTAAGTGGATGGACTACAGGACAGGCCATTTGTTCATTGTATGTAGTGTAATTAATGTCACTATAGACGTGAATTCATGTACATTTTGTATATATATATATAGCCGCAAGTCATTATCAGTGACACTTAAACGATAATAGGATACAACAAAAGCATTATTGATTGACCTGAATTATGATTTATCTGTTGTTAATTGCTTCAGTTGCATACACAGTCATATTGACATGGAATATGAATTGAATTAGACACATAAAACTTAAATGATGGATTACAGGCAGGCTAGCTAGGGCCCATATTCATGAAACCATTCATGTGCTCCAGTATGATTTCTGTGCTCAAGCTAATTTTCTTGAAACTCGCTTAAAAGTCGCATAACAAAGTCAAAAGGTCAAGTACCTGTAAACAACAGTATTCGGCTTAAAGTCTCTCTGAATTATATTTAAATTATAAATCATAATTAAATTCATATCATTGACAATATAATATTATAATTTTATTAATTTATCACTGGCGCGATAAGTTGGACCTGAGCACAAAATCTTGATTTGATCATGAGAAGGATTTCATGAATACCAGCCCCTGATTGTGAGTACAGTGGCCATGTGCATGTCCTGCCCCCACTACCCAGGGACCCTTGATTATTTTAATCATTATCGATTCAGACATTGTTTTTACTATCCACACTTTTATTCTATTACATGTGCTGTATTTACCAGTGATAAGCCCATACCCGGTAATAAGCCAATCCTCCCTTTCAGGTGCAATTTCTTAGTTATCCAATTCAAATATATCCTATATTAGTACAATTTTCTTTGATGAAAAGATGAGGTTCTCAAATAATATCAGTATCAAAGAGATCATTATTATCTTCTTCAGTATTGAAGTGTTTTGAATGAGATGATTTAGATAAACATGGTGTGATGGGTAAGTTAGCCCTGTAATTTACTGTATAACATGAAAGCTTTTACCATGTTTAATCAATCATGGTTTTTGTGGTTGCAGTATGAGACCATAAAGATAAATACAACTTTGATTAATATACTTGACTACTGTATGTTTATATGGGGTATTTATAGATGTTTGTTCCACAAATAACTTCAAACCATGAAATTTTGTACCATGAAAAAAATCCAAATAGCTTCAGAGATTTGTTTACCCTTGATGTTATTAGATCCATATCAGGCATGGACCAGGATATCACGGTTACTGTGATGCATCGTGGGCTACTGTCGGATGATTTCATTGGTTACGCTGCCATTCCACTCTCAGATTTCAAAGTGTTTGACCGACCAAAAAGTCAGTAAGTATAAAATGGATTACGAAATATTATACATTTGCGTATACATTCATTACTACATAAAGATATCTCAACTGATATAATGATCATCTGGTGATAGTGGGTGGTACCCACATTAATATGTCTTTTTGGAATGTAAAAAAAATTAAAAAGATCAAGAGAATGTCATAACGAAATTTAGTTTAAAATAAAGCGCATAGCTGAAATGAAAAAATGTGAGACTAATAACTATTAACTATTGCCAAGTTTGTTAAAGGCATGCTCAGTGTTGACAGTATATACAACATTGTCTGTTACTTGTGAACAATCTCTTTTATAGACTCTAATGCTTTTTGAAGTTTCTGTATCATCTGAGTAAACAGCGTAACATCTGACGGTATATAAAATGTCACCTGCTGATGTCTTCTTTATGTGAACGTCTCTGATGTTATGTCGCTGATGTTATATAAACGTCTCTGATGTTATATGAACATCTCTGATGTTATATGAATGTCTCTGATGTTTTATGAACATCTCTGATGTTATATGAACGTCTCTGATGTTATATGAACGTCTCTGATGTTTTGTCTCTGATGTTATATGAAAATTTCTGATGTTATGTCTGATGTTACATGAACGTCTCTTATGTTAATTTTTTTGTCTCAGATCATGATATTACATGAATGTCTCTGATGTTATGTCTTTGATGCTATATGAATGTCTCTTATGTTATGCCAGGCATATAAGGAGAAGTGTTGAAATTACTTTGATTCCACTGTTTTCATAGCCCTATGAATGCCATTTCTTCTGGCAGTGTTAATGTAGGGGGACTTATATGACTTTCAAATGTTTTACTACAAAATCCATAATGATCAATCAGTGCAATTTATGACCTGTTCATTGTTTGATTTTTAAGATGGGTTAAACTGCGAGGTAAGCCCCACAAACCTCCGGACAGCAAGAATCGAGGAGAACTAGAGGTCAAGCTGACTTTTCAAGTTAAGAACAAAGCCCAGGAAGAAGCTGGGGCGACGCTTAAAAAGTTGTCGTCTAATTCCTTAAAATCAATAGCTTCAGCTGTTGGTAAGTTTTTCGTGATTCTACAAAACAAGGTTTTAATTTTCTGTATGTGTTATTACTGGAGGAAATTCATTTTTTTTCATTAAATCATATAAGTATTGTAACATTATCATTTATGCAAAATTCTTCAAATACTGTTTAAATTGTTTGGCATATAAGTCTATAGCCATTCCAACATGTAGCAGAAAAGATCCAGGCAGATTGGACGAGATAGAAAATTCTAGCAGGGGCATCACATAGTATATTCCTGTCTGAGGTGAAAGAATAATAAAATATTTTACCTGTAACTGAGCAAGATCGGGTTATCTCAGTAGAGGGTTAAGATTCTGTAACAAAATCCCAACCGAGGTGTAAGCCGAGGTTGCGATGTTACAGAATCTGAGCCTGAGACTGAGATAACCTGATCTCGCTCAGTTACAGATAATTGATTTTTTTTCTCTCACCTTTTAGTTCAAAAAGGACTTTTCAATTTTGCTAAAAAAAACAACTATCCCGCCTTGGGCCTCAAATGATAATGACCTCTTCACTACTAAAGCTACATTTGAATGCTTCTGCGTAAAAATGTAGTCCGTCCTTACATAGATAACAACGTATTTCACAGTGTAGATTATACTTTATCTACAACATCAAATATCTTACAACATCAAAACTATACATATAACGACAAAACAGAATATTTATAATGCAAATTGTCAATTTCAAGCAGTTAACGTGCGGATGAATACATCACAGTGTAAAAAAATCTGCCAAATGTCACGTAAAGGTACAAGACAGATCGGACCAGATAGAAAAATCTAGCATGGGGTATGACGTGGGATATATCTGTCTGAGGTGCGAGAAAATCCATATCTTCATTATTCCACTGCATTGAGGATAAACCCAGAGCATATTGCTCTTCTCAAAAACATTGCTTCTTAATCTCTTAATTTAACCACAATTCATGTTTTGTAATCATATACTATAGCCTAAGAATGGATCATATACCAGGGTATTCATGCAACTATTTTTGTACACAATCAATAAATCTGGAATTCAAATATCATTCAAGTATTTCAAACTGAGAAACTTGTATAGATTCATACAGTTTGCTTTTTTTTTTTTATCAAATTCCTATGGTTATCCAAAGAGTTCCTGTCCCATCACATGTTACTGGATGTCAGCAAAGATGTGTTCATTAGAAGCATATAATATTGCTGAAAAAGTGAAGCTCTGATCTGTTATGGGTAGAACCATTGGCATTAGCTGGTTATGGAAATTGGTTAAGTTTTCTACACTAATCTGAGCCCCAGATGACAACTCATTGGTTAAGTTTTCTACACGAATCTGAGCCCTGGATGACAACTCATTGGTTAAGTTTTCTACACTAATCTGAGCCCTGGTTGACAACTCATTGGTTAAGTTTTCTACACTAATCTGAGCCCCGGATGACAACCCATTGGTTAAGTTTTCTACACGAATCTGAGCCCCGGATGACAACTCATTGGTTAAGTTTTTTACACTTATCTGAGCCCCGGATGACAACTCATTGGTTAAGTTTTCTACACTAATCTGAGCCCCGGATGACAACTCATTGGTTAAGTTTTCTACACGAATCTGAGCCCCGGATGACAACTCATTGGTTAAAATATATTTTTGATATTCTTCTTTTGATATCATAATATTATTATATTTACATTCTTGATGTTTGTTCTTTACATGAATCTACTGAAAACAACTGCCATTAGACCATGAATTTCACACACAATGACCATATTCATATCACTACGTATAGTACCGTTTCTGAGAAGAGTTATTATCCCTTCTCCGAGATAATGTGGTTGCGAGAAATGATTATAAACATTACGAAAATCATAAATGGTGCACCATTATACTATTTTTTTATTTTTTTTTTGAAATTGATTTTTTTTTTATAACATTGTCATATTAAATAACTTTCGATTCGCAATCGGTTCCTCATCGTCACAAACTTTCTAACACCCAAACATCCGGCTGGGTTAACCCTGTGACATCAACTTGCACATTGAACCCAGAGAACTTTGCAATATTTGGCACAGGGCACTTCATCCATCAATTTATGATCATTTACATCTGCAGGTTTTTTGACAAACAAAATATTCAACGGCTATATATTTATCTTCAAATGATCATGAGCTTTATACCCACTGCCAACGGGTGTCCTGGATGGTTTCTATGGTGACCGGTCATTTGATATCGTTTCGGACATAAACTTTTTAAAATATATTATATGTGGTGTTTAATGCAAAAAACATCAAATAAGATCAATTTTCAAAAATGGAAGGATAAGATCAATTTTCAAAAATGGAAGGAATATCAAGTGTTGGTTATTATTAGATTCTAGATATATTTTTTGTTTTTGTTTCAACAAAATCAACTGATCGGCAGAAGTTGAACATTTGAAGATTGTGTGTAGGCTGGAGTTCTGGCTGTTCCTTTTTTATGTTTTTTTTTTTTGTCAGATATTGATATCAAAAATAATAAATTAACAAATAGTTTTGTGACCTTTTTTATTGTAGGTCACCGTAATGTAATTATCTGAATTGAATGGATGTTTTTTCATGTACATTGCCTCAATGTATATGAAAAAAATCCATTCAATCCCCATTTTTGTAATAACCTTACTGAATTTTGACTGAAAGGGAAAAAAGGATTAGGTTATGTGATTCTTTTGGGGTTCCCTTTAATAGATAAAGCATGCTTAATTTTTGTATTGTTGTCTGTATTCTAGGTTTGAAAGTTGGTGAAAAATTCAAAAGAAGCCGTTCCTTTCGTGAATCTCAAAATTCTTTGCAACAGACATCTGACAAGAGAAGAAACAGCTCCGCATTTACTTCTGAAGGGGGACGCATACATGTAAGTATTAGGAAGATATGTAAGTTCTTATGAATTTTGATCAATAATGGACTTTTGTTGAGGCCAATATGTGATTATATGGACCTGAGAATGCGATATTGACAGAGACAAAGTCATCACTTTTCAGGTCTGTATCGCACATATGCACCGAAATGAAAGTCCTTAATTTTATAGATATAAAATTGAGTGTATCTATTGTTATACAGTTATGGACTTTTGTGATGGTGAATATATGTGACATGGACCTGAAACAGTGATATTTACCGAGGCCAAGCTGGGGTTGAAATAATGTGTTCAGGTTCATATCATGTTTACAACTACAACAGTCCATACAGCTGTGTTATTATGTGCTTCAACAATTTTTTTATTTATTTTTATCAAGGTTAACCCATTCACCCCTATGTAACTTTAGTAGACTCTATCATGCATTGATCTGGATGAGTCCATTTTGGTCTACATTGGTAAAAGGGTTAAGCATCAAGAATATGCTGATCAATAATACCTATGGGCCCTTTTTTTGTGTTTACGTCTGTGTTTCCTGTGTATTAGCCGAGGTGTAGGGAATTCCCCCTTATGGCTTTATATATAGAAATTCTTATTCTCCGGAAAACTGGTCTACATGAGCAAGATTATTGAAAGAGGACACATATCTTTAATATTACGAATGGGGACATACCTAGCGAATATTTATACTAATTAAGACAGAGACCAATATCATTGGTCAAGGGGACCCATGTACATTGTAAACATAAGTTTTACGAGTTGGACATACACACAAGATTATTGGAAGAGGATACATATTTCTATATTACGGACAGGGACATATATGCAATGGCATGTACTTGTATGAAGAGAAATATATTTAGCTTATAATGACAAATTTTAGTTGAAATTATATACATATGATGGGTTTTGAAGCATGATTACTGTTACAACGTTCTGCTTGAAAGCATATATATCTCATTATGATAATGTTTTGGATAGAATTTATAGGTCATTATCTGTTGATCATATTGCCTAAAGAATGGCTAGTATTGCAAGAATGCACTTTGTCTAAGTTCCTATCACATTTTCAGGTCTATTTATCATCTATTAAAAGTCTTTATTAGTGTTGAATTATAATACAACAATAATCAAGACTTATAACAGATATTAAATAATGTTTTAATCATTCAACAAGATGGAACACATGAATTGTTTGAAGGAATTGTGATGTTACAATTGAATGATGTCATAAAGTTAATACGACCTGTTGTTTCTAAAAATAGTAATGCTAATCGGTCAAAATCACAAACGACTTCAATGTGATTATTATCCAACCAATGAGGCTGTAGCAAAAATTTGTGTATTATAACATTTTGTTTTACTGTTTTGTAGAATTATCATATATATTGATATATTAACCCTTTCACCCCTATGTAACTTTAGTAGACTCTACCATGCATTGATCTGGATGAGTCAATTATGATCTACAGTGGTGAAAGGGTTCACTCATTCCCCCCGGAAGACTCTTTTGAACTCTTCCAATTCAAAGGTTGGAATAGTTCATTATGAAATGTCAGGGGTGAATGATTTACATAATTTAAATAATGTAGACGGCTATACATTAACATTATATATGCTCTAGAGATATTTTATAACCCTTTCAATTCATAATATATGTATGATGCTAGACAGAATCTTATATATAATATTAACTGTATATGTTGTATATTTGTATATGCTGATAATCTTGTAGAACCTCCATGCATGCAAAACAAATCCTAGATCCAGTATTTAATTTGTGCATGAAGAACATCCATATATCCTTTTCATATTTATGAATTATAATCAATATTTCCCGTTGATTTGGTTCTTTGTTTGTTGTGCTTTATGTACTTGTGTATCCGTATGTATTTTTGTAATCATACACTTATATTGCTTCTTATCGTATGAAACCAGATACGTATATATAATTATTGTATTTGCCGTAAACAGCACCTCTCCCCCTATATGCGTCCCATCCCTTTTTCGGGAGGAATTGAAATTATATACCCCCCCCCCCCATTCCAGACCTGACCTGGCCCAGTAAATGATTTATATTACTTTTAACTTTTAAAGTAGAGATTTATGTATGATGTCTATCATTGCTGAATTTCCCATGAAGTTGATGAAACATTTGAAACCCGAGCTGTTAGTCACACTGGAATGTTTCTAATGTCACAGTTATTCCGTATCAACGTTTGAGGTTGCAGTCAACTTTTTCTATCATAACTCACGTTTTCTTATCTTAATAACCATGTAAGCCTCCTGGGCGCTAATTATGGCAAATACAGCATATTTATTTTTATTTTACATCACCCATGCATATTGAAATTTCTTTTGCCCCCTGTATAAAAGTTAAACTTTGACTTCAGTTCTATAGACACATTGTTAAATTTTGCTGTAAATATCATTCTGACCAATTTACTCATTATGGTTAGCATTCTAAGACACTGACAATTATTCAATGTATTAATATTACCAATTAGGATTGCTAGATAATTTTCTAGCTGTGTACCAAATTTCACTATTTTTTGACAAAAATATGAAGCCAGGAAAATTCATTTTATTAAATTAAATTTATATATATAGAATCAAAATCCAATGGGAAAGTAGCCTACCTTGTAAGAACCACCCACATATCACGTTATCGTACATATGGAAACCTTTTATTTTCAAAATTAATTGTGTTGTAATATTGTTTATTGTAAATATACTATCTTTGTATGTGTGAATTACTAAAATTATGATGATGCTAACATGTTCGTTCAGGCTAACTATTTTTGTTCAATCTTGATTGTGTTGTCCAGGCTAATAATCTTCCATCTTCCGTAACTATCGATGGCTCTACGAACCTCAAGGGGGCAGCACGGTCTGCCTCTGTTGACGGCGCTAACTTCCCAGCAGTAGATATTCCCCCACCACAGTGGGATGATTTATCTGTGGTCAGTATATTATGTCCAGAGTTGTCATGGTTACTTGTTAAATATTTTACTGCAGAAGATAAGGACCATTGTGGTCAGGGTACACATTTTTTGTTCTTAATAAAAGTAATTAAAAAATCTTTGTCATGGTAACTCTGACTATTTAGAAGCAAAAGTAGAAATTCTTTGGTGTTTGCATCGACGCAGTGCTGTTTATAATGGAAACCATATAATTGGTAAATAAGTATTGTCAGTCAAGGTTTTGGTATAGAAAATAGTTTAATATGATCAGCCTGAAATAAAGAATATATTCAGATGTGGATAGCGGAAATGATAATAAATTCTTTACAATTTTTAAATTTTTACTTTTTTTTTTATGAATTACTTAAAATGTGTTGGAAATAATGGACATCTCAGTATTGTCAGTCATAGAGTTTAAAGGTTTTTGTATATAAAACAATCGAATATGATCATCCTGAAATCAAGAATATATTTAGATGTTGATACTATTTAATTTACTAATGAAAATAAATTCTTTTGTTTTTTAAATAACATTTTTTTCTCCAGAAAAAGCCTCATTGTTTAACACAGAAAGTTTTTATACATTTCTGCATTGAATAAATTCTCTAACAAGTTAAAAAAACTCACTTCAAGCAAATATTAAGACTGAATTAATTTTAAGTATTATAATAGTAGATCTGGTGACTGGTTATGTAGCCTATATCTTGTAGTGGCAGTATTTGTGTAATTATTAAAGAATAACACTTGTGTTGTTTTAACCCATCTTTCATTTGCTTATAGACTAATATATCTTTATGCTTCTCTGTTGTATGTAACAACTTTCTTGATGCTTACAGTAGTGCTATTTTATATTTCAGCATGTAGGATAGAAATTTTGTTTGACCTATATACTGCATAACTGTGTATCTAATAAATTATGTTTGCATGTATTTTGATTTTCAAAACACTAAATATGAAGAAAAGGGATACAGTTTAGCTTTTCAATGTTATCAATCTATAGACTTTAACACAGCAATGCGACAGACTTACAGCTGGAAGTTTTAACAATAATTATGTTACCGTAGTTGACAGAATTTGAAGGAAGCAATGACTTTTTTTCTTTTTAATTTTCCTATTAATAAATCATATGCTTTAATATAGCTTAAAATATAATTACTGTAATTATTACTTTTAATAAAGAAATGTGGAAAATCTCCAAAATTTGAGAGCAGTCTGAGCTGTGAGTAGCATAATGTGTTAAAGCTTACTGACCTCCTTAGTAACAGGGCCACAATGGCCGAGTGGTTAAGGCGTCTGACTGTCTACGATTGCTAGCCCTCCACCACTGGGTCAAGGGTTCGAGGCCTAAGTGGGGAAGTCGCCAGGTATTAGCCACAGGTCTTTGGTTTTCCCTTGGTACTCCGGCTTTCCTCTGCCACCAAAACCTGGCCCGTCCTTAATGACCATAGCTGTTAAAAGCACATAAAACTCAAACAAATCAAACCAAAAAGAAAGAGAAAAATATCAAGACAATGAAAAAATAAATGAAAACATCTATGCAACTGGTTAGTCGAGAACATTTAGGAAACCTGAGTGCTAATATCATAACAAGAAATTTGAAGAATGAAGTCAATCAACATAGCACAAAACAGATCTCATGGGTGGATTGCAAACATTTCCATTAGAGTTTATTGCTAATCTTGTGAATTTGGGGAAGTTTAAACACACTGACCATTATGATCTCATTAAATAAGATATCTTCTACACATTAAGTATAGGCACTTCATTATGCATAAAATAAGAACTTTGATACACCGTTTATGGTTTTAAATCATCAACATACTTATGTTCTTATTTAAATGTATCCAGTCACATGATCGTTTCTAAGCTATATATAGTTATTTTTGTAATGTTTATTTTGATTTGATATGTGACTGACTGCAGGCAGAGAACATTATGCACCGAAGTCGTAGCATGGTCCTGGACCGCCAGCGTGAACAGGATCAAAGTCCAGGTAAGCATCCAAATGTCTCGGTTCTTGTCGTTTGTTGGCGTAGAGGTTATGTCATTGGTTGTTTTTGTGCCAAAATGAAGTAATGTTTTTGAAATTGTTTTGTTGGTGAAGAGGTGAAATAAAAATAGTATTTATTATTAATTTATATAAATACTTTTTAAGGGTAATGTTAACTTTAAGTAAAAAAAAATAGCTTCTTTTAACGAAATCGGGAGTATGTCAGCTTAAGCTGCTTAAATAATAATGATTTCTTTTGGTAATTGTTGTACTTTTTAAATTGCAAAATTACCTGCCATTATGGGGAAGACAAATATTTTCAAAAACTAACTGGTGGTAGATTAATTTATGAAGCTTCAGTAAAATTAATACTCAAACTTCTACCGACAGATAGTTGTGTAGAGGAATACTGCAAGTAGATAAATTTTATTACCTAAAATTTCTTATTTTAATTTATTTCTTATATACTATGTATGGTGACAGCTGAAGTAGATATCGGCAGCAGTAGATACAACCGACCAGGAAATCGCCAATCCTTGCCTCCGTCTTACTGGGGCACACAGACTTTGCCCCACCCCCGGGGCAAGCGCTATTCCATGGACAATGAAAGCGGTGTTGCTGTGGTTACAAAATCTGCAGACGACCTTGATACCCCCGTATCCTCGCAGCCAGGATACTTAGAATCCATGTTCCGCAAAGAGCGCGAGGTCTACAAAAGTATGCAAAAAGACAAAAGTGATTCCTCGGATGATGAGGCAGTAACTAAAAACAGACGATCAAACCGTAAAAGTGCTAAAGAATACATTTCCGATGAGAGACATTCGTCAGATTCAGATTCAGAGGGAGGTGCAAAGGAAATTGCACTTCCTCTTGTAAAGAGGAAGTCGGAATCTAAATCAAGGTCTGGAATCAGGCCAAGATCAGATTCAAAGGATAGTAATTCTAGTCATGTTAGTAAGTCAGACGTTTTGGTAGAGCCGCCACCTTTGAGCAGAAATAACAGCAGTGAAGGAAAGACATTGACGGAAACCTCTTTTCCAGAATCCAGTACCGATCCGGTATATCATAATGGTAAGGATGACGATGCTAGTTCAGGATCAACTATTGAACCTCAGGAAACGGCTGACAATGATTTAGTGAATGGAGAAGAAGAGGATTCGGGAAAATCCGACCTGAATCGGCGAAAAATCACTCCCAAACAATCGTTTTCATTTGACAACTCTCCAGAGAAACCAGATGGAGTAAGAAGGAGGGCAAAGAGAGACCGACTTCGCCAATTATACAAACAAGGTATATGACACATCTAATTAACTTTTATCATCTGTTCAATATCCACACCTTCCCTATTTCATCTGCTTCAATATTATGTTATATAATTTAGATACTTATAGTACAACTAGGAAATCTTTTAATATGAACATTCCCTGGTACCGTATTTGGTTAAAAATATTCCCTATATTGTGTACATTTTTAATTCCCCCTGGCCCCAACTCCTTTCCTGGTCTGAGCATTCCATCCCTTCACCATTGGTTAGTTTAATTCATTCACCCCTGAAGACACATTCAAACTCTTCCAATTCAAATGTTTGAATATTTTGTTATAAAATTTCAGGGGTGAATGAGTTCAACAATATTTTTATTCAATAATTGCATCAATAGTCATACAAAAACATGGAGTCACCATAGTTTGCCAACTCATTTGTAAAAATGTCTGTTGTGTCTTTATTTTTTGAAGTCAATTGGAATGTTTTGTAATCATTCTAATATCCAAAAATTATTATGTCAAATATTATATTAATATCAGAAATAAGAAGAAAAGGTCTTAGATTGCATGTTAGTTAATAGTATCTGAAAATAATGTGTACCTATTTTGATATGTATGTAACTGGTTATTCTTATTTAATCATAAAATTCTTTTAAGGTAAATGGTACCAGCAAGTTAAACTATCATTTATGATATTGCCATTAGTGCAAACATTGTGAACTATTTGTTGAAGCTCTTTTCAAAAGAAATATTCCATAAAAATCACATATGCATGCTGCCATGCATTTTACTGAATTACAGATGTTTGAATGTATGTAAAAATAAGTAAGAAAAATAAACACAGAAACAGCAAAAGTCAAACCTGAAAATATTACATTGCATTGCTTTATCAGTTTGGCGTACTAGGAATGATAACTGCAAAGGATTACAAATAGTGCCCAATGCATGGGCCGAAAAGCCCATTAACACATAGACAGGGGAAGTAACTCTAAACCAGATAAACTCCTTTTGGGTTGTTTTATCTTTTATTTATAGAAAAGGGAGAATACTTTAAATCAAAACTGAACCCCAAGTGGAACTCTTCTTTGCAATAAAAATGGATGCAGTGTACCATACCTCTAGCTTAATTAAAAAAATAAAATCAATATTATCTGTCTTAATAAATAAATCTTTTTTGTCTCTGTTATAGGAGGGCGAAGATACACTGTGCAAGGACTACCTCGTCGTCATAACGACGACTCATTAGCTGACCTTCGGCCCCAATTCTCACGAGGATTCACCATCATACCAGATGACCTCATAGCCGTCTACAAGAATATGACAAAAGAGGTAAGTAAAAGACAAGTCAAGGGAACACAATCAAGCATTTCCACCTCAAGACACATGATAAATGAACATTTAGCTTTATTAGCAAGATGATGAGAAGAAATATCACGTCTAAAAATAGCATTATTCTAGGTTGTTAGAGCCCAGATTGTTGGAGGTCAGACTGTTTAACTCATTCACCCCAAAAATTTCATAATGCACTATTCCAACCTATGAATTGGAAGAGTTCAAATGTGTCTTCAGGGGTGATTGAGTTAAATCTAGATTGTCTATATATGTCCATATTGTTTGAATGTGGACTGACAGGGTTTTGATTTTTTCTAGACATTTTCATCAGGTTTGTGAAAATGGATTGTAGAAAGGTTATGTAGCACAACCAGTAACTGTTTATGTGTGATGTTCCAATGACTAGCACTCTACATTATGTACTTATGCTTGAATTGTATCATAAGCAATGATGAATCATGTTTCCCTATACCATAAGGGCAATGATTTATGATGTATAATCAACACTCGAAAACCTACTTAACTAAGTAAGTAATCTGTATCGTGTCATTTTGATTTATTAAGGATCCTTGTCCCACTACACTTTGGTTTTGCCTATAAAAAATAACCTCCTCATAATTTCCGTTTTGATAAAACTGTAGCACAGCTGTGTCAAGACACTTCCATTGACCAGGTTTGCTATGTAGCTCAATCCATTACAGAGATGGTTTAACAATCTGAAGTCCAGGGTTTACCCTGCTTTTTACTTTCAGATCACATTAGTTGATTATCTCCTGTGTATTTCATCGTTAGCATTTCTCATAAAAGCCGTGCAAGGTATGGTATTATTTTCAGAAATAATTTATCACAGCTACAGCCATGCCGAAAAAATGAGTCGGATTTATAAAGAGACATTATATATAGTTATACCATACAATTGTGTGTGGTTTAAAAGCTGAATTATTCAAATCAAGCTTGTATGGTATAGTGACTCTTTGTAGTTTTATTGTTTATTTTTCCGTGTTTCAGGAACTCATTCACTTGGTAATTACACACAAAGCCCAGCTGATCCGGAAAGACCAGTACGTCAAAGATATGGAGGATTACATCGACAGTATGCTTGTCCGCGTGATGGAGACAAACCCCCGTCTTCTCCAGCATAAAAATCGGTTCAAGTAATATACGTCTAGTCCAATCAATTCACTCAGATAAGTCAAACCCTGCCTATACTGTATGTATAGCACTCGTATATATGAGAAGTACACAGATAGTTATTCTGTAAATATAGTAACATACATGTACAGTAAATGTTATTTACATACAGGAAATATAAGTGTTGTACAGTGAATATATGTAAGTAGTTTACAGGAAATATGAGCAGTATATACCGTGTTACATGGTTGATATATTTGATTTTTAATTTTTGGGAGTTACTCCTCCTGGGTTTATTATTGGTATCTGTGTTACCGAGGGGGAGGAGGGGTAATTTTATTTTGACACAAGTCATTTGAAATTTCCTTTCACAAGTTTTGACCTTTTGTGTATCAAACAAATTGTACAGAGCATTGTTGTATAAAAGGGTCATGTTCTCTAGATTAATACACCATAAAACATCTGATTGGGGAAAAACAGTATGACCTTTTAATCTTGAATCTGTTCATGCAAGGCATCTGCTAAACAGGGTTATCTGTCTTTGATTATTAAGCTAAAGTATGAATCCTCATAAGTCAGAAAAAAATAGATCGCTTATTACATCAAATGACATAGTTCATTCTGTTTCAAATTCAGTTCAAATGTTAATGTATGTTTCAGTGTTTGGCTTAGACCTGTAAAGTGAACACAGTTGAGGAAATATTTCATCAAATTTTATGAAAGTCCCTCTGAAATGAAATTTCAAGAAAGAGGTGTTTGTTATCAAGGACTGTATTCTGCAGAATATATAGTTTTTTTAAACAAAATATTAACATACCTCTATCTTTATAACAAAGTGTCTGATTGGATGATTTTGATCACTTGACAGGGTAATAAAACATCATGTTGCCCTCACACGTCCAAGTTTTCCTGATCATGTATACCTTATTCAGAGGCTCTCTAGAAAAGAGCTCTAGAACGAACATCTAAAAGTTCCGAAGAACTATAACATACAACAAAAACAGAGTGGCAACCTGATCACACTTAGTAATGGTTTAGTGTTTTATTTCGGCATACTTAAATATATTTATTTCCCTTGTTTTAGGGAAACATAAGTCTTTCTCTCATTTCCCTGTGTGTAAGATAGAGCTGTACAGGGTAAGAAAGGGGTGTAGGAAATTTCTATCTTACACCCCATTTCACGTGACGTGACTTACGTCACAATGGCTCAACAATGACGTGACATCACAAATTTGGAACTCTCCGATGCCGCAACGTTAAGATGGGATATGCTTAATCTGGCTGGCAGATTCGTTTTCATCTCAAAAGCTTAGGGGAAAAATTGATATTTTCAAAATGGTGACCAGTCCAAACTCATTTTCAGGGTTTCTGGGCTTATTCTGGCTGTTGGAAGGAGAGAAAAATACTCTTTCATGGCCAAGGGTGTAGGATAGGGACATTTCACCCTTGGGATTTTCAAATTTGGCAAAACCCTCGGCAAAGCCTCTGGTTTTACCAAATTTGAAAACCCCTCGGGTGGAATTTCCCTATCCTTCACCCCTGGGCATGAAAGAGTCTTATATTGTTTCACCCTTGTGAAACATGATTAATCTAGGAGAAACAAAGAATCGTGTTTCCCTACAACAAGAGATATTGTATAAAGTGACCTTTAGATGGATAGGGTAATGTACTGAAAACAAGTAGGATTCTGTGGGTCGACCAGTACTAAGTTATTTGTTTACTCATTCACACCTGAAATTTCATTATGAACTATTCCAACCTTTGAATTGGAAGAGTTCAAATGTGTCTTCAAGGGGAATTGAGTTAAAGGTAAAGAAAGAACTCATCGAAGGCCAGGATGAATTTTTCTTCGTTTTAATACAATAAAATTACTATTGCTTGCATAAAGATTGATATTTTGAAAACTTTTTAAAAAGTGTGTTTTTAAATGATTGCATAATAGATAGTTTTTGTTTAAAGCCAGTGTTTGTAATGCATATTTAAATATTTTTATATATATTTGCTAATTTTGAATACATATATACATATCTGTTTATGCAGTGAAAATGATATTGTGAACTTTCTATAATATTTTAGAACGGTCTGAAATCAATGAGGGAAAGTGTTTTGTCCCTGTAAACACAACTTTGATGTAGTAACATACAGTCATAGTAATACAAATGGGTTATAAATTAATGTAAATAGAGTCAACGTTCTGTGCCAAGTTCTATATAAAACACTCACAAACTAGATTGGTGGGTCAGCACATTTGTGAAAACTTTGTTTTGATCAAATATATCAATTTAATATTTCTCCCACCGTTTGGTGCATGGCTGTGTTGATTTGCCTATAGATATTTACTAGGCTATTGTCAAAAATGTAATTAAATGTTATTTTACATTGTCCTCCATTGAATGAGTGTTGTTTTATAGAGTGAACTAATACAATCTTCCCCCTACCTAGGGATAAGACAAAAAATCCAAATGTGCCCTTTGCTCCTAGATTTTTTTTTCTCCTTTTCAACTAAAATTGGTGATTGTATGACACAAGAGTTTTAATTTGATAGCATTAATTTTAGCATATGAGTTATCATCCGCTATCTGATATTGTTGATGTGACGTCAATGCATTGTTAATATAATGACATACCATTGTTTTGAATAAGGCCTCGTCCCGTCATTACACACAAATCATTCCCTGATCATGACTTGAAGTGTGGATTTCTTTGTTTAATGGAGGAGAGATGTATAAATATACCTCCCATCAGGAAAATAACATTGTCTTTCCATCAGCAACATAATGAAATTCTTGGTTGATAACCCTTTATCAAAGCTACCATCACGGTTTTTAAAGATATACTTATAAAATGTTACATTTGTTTATGTTCATCCCTCTGTGGATAATGGGGGCTACTGTCTACTGGGAAACTTTCGCCTAGTCAAATATTGGCCCTTCACCTGTAAAATCCATGTTCGCCCAGTGTTAATTTCGCCTTCACATGGAATTACTTAATATGTTTTTTTGTGAAATGTTATATGCTGTCATGGTAATTTCGCCCACATTAGCGAGGGCGAAAAATAAAAAAGTGAACCTGCGGCGAAAGCTTCAGGTATACAGCATGGCCTATTGGTCATTTACGACCATACAATTATTTAAATTGTACATGTATTTATGATCTGAATATTATTTGTACGTTTCATTTACTTGATGTGAGAGGTTGTGCTATATGTTTTCCTGGTTCAATTTTTTTTTTTACGATATTCATTCCACTTAAAATGACTGTTATTTTATATTGTGAAATGGGTTGTGACTTGTTAATGTGAGAGAAACAGATCTTGAATTGAGATATTTCTATAGTTTATATAAACATGTAAATATCTTAAATGTTTGATTTTTTATGACCAATGCCATTGTGTTTGTATTTTAAACGGATTCCATTTTTTTGAAAATATTATCTTAATTTTGTCACAAACACGAAACCTAGACTCAATGATATGAGCAGAAAAGATGCATGTTTTTATATTTTTATGTGACGTTTGTTCTAATTTGGTAGAGACGTTTGAATAGGTTTGTATTAAGACATATGGAGAAGATTCCGATAAGAAAATGTAGCAAATCATTATTTTTGATTTTAACGTTTCAAGATATCTATGCAGAAAAACAGTTCTTGGCTTTCGACCAAGCAGATGCAAAACTGATTCCAGCCATTATAACGATTATATTTGAGAAGCTCTTTGTTCTTGTGTGATCAAAGTTATATTTTATATTTTTATTATCTAATGGCATTTCCATATTTTATAAGTAAATATGATGTTATTATATATGTATATATATTGCTACTGAAAAGAAAATTACAAAGTAGGAAACACATGATTGCCATGTGTTGATTTTATAAGTTGATTATGATTAGTTGAGATATTATATTAATTACAGAAAAATAAAAAGCATTCAAGATCTAGACCACAGGTCATGTACTTTGCATGTATTACTACCACAAGCATATGGCCAAGACCCTAAAGCTGAAGTTATTAACTGGAGATTGTGATGAAGTCCATTTAAATACTTGTCAACGACTCCTGATGCCATTTTGTGTTAGCCAGTTTTCTCTCAGCTATATCGAAAACTCATTTTTTATTGGTAAATTAGATTTTAGTAAATTGTTTTCTGGACCGAACTCTTTATTAAGATTGAATTATTGCTATATATCGAATTATTATAATTGCTTTTTGTTAATTTCCTATTGGATAAAGCAATATCATGTGATCATCAATAAAAGAGAAAATTTCACAGCTATGAATAGATTACAGTTGATTGAATGGTTATAAATAGAAAATCAGTGGAAACCTATAAATATAAATATATATAGATGAAAAATCATCTATATTAATTAACATTGTAGCTAAAGGCAATGTTGCAATCTTTATGTTTTTGACATTAAGTTTTGAAAAATCAATGAGTATAATGACATGTTTAGCATTTCGATTTTAATACAGATATGGCTAAATCTACCAGATATTGATCTTAATTTTTTTCTAAGTTAAGTTTTGTCATGTGGTCGATATAATTATGTAATGCTATAAATCAGTATCATTGACTAACTGGACACACCTTCATTGTCTAGTCTAACTAATGCCAACTGCCAAGTGACAAGATGTTCAGTGTATTTATTGCGTACTTCATTTATTTGGATTCGCAGACGGAGTTTAACGTTACAGCTTTATTGAATTTTATCAATTTTTGTATAAAGAGAAAAAAAAATCAGAAACATGTGCTTACTTTTGTCTCGCATGTAATTGTATGCAAACAATGTTTCTCTCGTTTCGCCATCACTGAGCTCTAGTTGTTATTGCTAAACAAGCATTAGCCTGTTCACTGGTGCGTTTTTCAATGATTTGATTTCTGTTCATTTAAGTTGTGGTTCCATGCCGAGGTATATTGCACTCCCATAAATATTTTCTATTTTTAAGTTGTGTTTTAATTACATTTGAATAGTTTGCGCATTGAAGCTCATGGTATTGAAAAAAGTACCCTGCATGCTCCTTCATTTATCATTACCTCGTACAAGTTTAAAATTGAAAACGGATTCCCTAAGTATAATTGTTCCCCTTACTGAAATTTCATCATGGCGTGATTTTTTGGGATAATTCAGGGGTTATCCTCACCTACTTTCTCTGCACTCCGGGAATATGTCATAGAAAAATCCAAGGCTTAGTGTGCATCTCATTGTGGATGATACGAGAAGACAAGTTTAATTCCTTGATATACATCAAAAGAATCTGTCGGTAAAATATACAGGCTTTTAAGTCGGATGTTGCTCCTCTGTCATCATCAAAGGACAGGTATCAGCCTAGCGATTGTTAGGGTTGTTTGTTTTTACCTGAGACTAATCAAATAGTTAGCGGCGTGCTTTTTTTGCTATGCATATTGAAGACCATGCATGCAACCAAGTAAACATTCCGTCCTGAAAGAAAAGGTATATTGCCTAAGGATGGAAATACATTTTGCTAACTTTTATAATGTTATTACTTTTTTTTTTTTTTTTTTTTTTTTTTTTTTTTTTTTAAAATTAAAANTTGTTCAAAATTAAAAAGAATCTTGTATATTATCATTATGACTGTTTTTTTGTGCATGGTGCTGTTTCAACTAATTGTTATACACAATGTTCGAGCAGCCATTTTTGCCGAAACAAGATGGTGGTTTTTTATTGGGAAGAGAAACGAGGAGTTTCAATCAAAGTTTGGATGTCATTTGGATATGACATCACAGCATTGTTTGGTCGATGTTCACTATGACAAAATGAAATAAAGAAATAAACCGAATAGGTTTATTACCGGTTACAAAAACACGTTCTTGTTGAATTCATATATAATAACATTTTGAGTTTAGGAGGGTTCTTTTAGAAGCCTTACAAAACGAGATATGGTTTGAAATCTTTTGCTTGTTCATAGGGTTTATTCAATCATTTTGTATTTGATTAAAAAATAATGCAGTACTATTTATTATGATTTGTACTCTCTCCAACTTGAGCTGGTTCCAATAGTTATTATTGTCGTACAATTTCATTTTCCATACAATTTTATATTCAGAATGACATTTTTTTTTACGTTTGATACAGTTTGCCAATATGAATAGTTTAGTTGCTAATGGATAGCTATTTGGTGCTACTCATGTGTTATTATTCATTATCTAT